TGTGTGTGTATGTTTGAGATTTCTTTTTGTGTACTTGGTGTGTTTGCAACCGGGTCAATGTCACTCTAAGCCCTGAGTGTGTCATAGCCAGTGTCAGGCCTCACAGCGTGATCCTGGCACTCACAGGGGCTTAAGTAGACCGGCTGACCCGCCACCCGCTCTCCCTGTCTCCCTCAGGTCAAAGGCCAGCCGGCCCTATCGATTCCTCCGATGAAGAAATCTTTAGCTCCTCCGCCTGCCCTCCTGTCTTCGGCCCACATGCTCCCGGACTATCACCGCGGCCCCAAAAGGCCTCTCAATTGTGTTTCGCATGCCGATCGATCCAGTTGGTGTCTAAGGAGGAGAGGAGGGGGGGGCTTCCTTTGAGATAACTGACAACTACAAAGGTCCCCTCCTGACAGGTTCTTGTCAATACAAATTTCCACTATTGATAAGTAATTAAAGAAAGACTGAACATAAGGGGGGTTCGCTTTCTGAAGCATCTGTTAAACAGGAGACATTAACCAAAAAACCTCTCAAAAAAAGAAAGAAGACAATGAACTGCCCTCTACACCCTTCAACTGCCCCACAGTTTCCTCTAAGTCAAACAGTTTTTCTAAATATTTCATTGATGAAACAACAGGTGCATCAAGAATAGACCTGAAATTATTAATTAATTGTTTATTAGTCTATTAGACAGAACATTAAGTGGCGACTACTTTGATAATCAGTTAATTGTTTAGGTCATTTTTCAAGCAAACATGAGAAATAATTCCTACTTCCAGTTTCTCAGTTGTGACGATTTGATGCTTTTCTTTGTTTTATGTGATTATTAAACTAAATCTGTTAGGGATGTGGAGCGTTTTCTTAATATTTTCAACCAATACTTTCATTTTGTTCAAGTTTTAGCTTAAAAGTTGTCAACAAAACATATTTTCACTCCCATTTCTTTAATTCAATTCAGTTTTATTTGTATAAAACAGGTTATTGGATCATTTTATTAGTTTTTGAGGCTGAATCCTACAGTATAATTTACATTGTTGCTTATAAATTGTAACTTTCTTAATGGTTGATTAATAATTATAATATTATTAATGCTTTATACATTTGTTATGATCTATCACAAGTAATTAGAATAACTATTGTGTTGCCAAGTTGTGGAAAATTTGAATTTAGTAAGTAATAAATGTTAATTTTAATCCTTTAATGAAAGATCACTTTGTAATTAAGTCTGCTCTTACAAAAATGTTAATAAGTCATTAATAGAGGGGTTTTAATCATCAAGTCTGCAGCTGTGAGTGTTAATGTATTGATAGCAGTTATAAGATAAGTGGTCAGATGTTCTGGAAATCCAAAAGTTCTTCTTTTTAATGGTTTATAACCAGATAACTGAATGTTTTATTAACCTTTAATGAAGGCATTAGTTCCAACCTGTAAACCTTTCATAAAGGGTGGCTTGTTAGAAAGCTTTTTCTGTCATTGCCTCTTTAATAAAACTCCCGGTATGAAATGTTTTGCAATAAATTCAGCCACAGAAAAAATACACGACAGGGCTCGTATTAGTAAAACTTTAATAACACTGTGTTATTTTACATCAAGCAGGATAAAGCCTGAATGTTTTCTTACTGTCAGCAGAGCAGTGAGGATGTGTAATTCCCTCTGCTATATGTGACAATGGTTATTAAACCTGTGCGAGTTTTCACCTGCTCCTTGGTGAGACTGTTGTCGGGGATGTGACTTCGCCTTTTGTCTTTTATTCACTGTAATCCATGCATGTGTAAGTGGATCCTCTAAGAGCAGGATAACTCCTTTTTAAGAGGTTTTAAACACTACAGGAGGGACTCAAATCCAGTAACTTCTCATTTACCTCTGCACCTAAGTCTTTAATGCCAAATACTCACATCCTGCTGATTAGACCTGCTGCACCGAGGCCTGTTTCTCACTTCACAAAACTGCTGATTAACTTAAATGGAGACTGATGAACGTGTTCTTTGCAGTTAGTTGTTGAGAGGTGAAGCAGTCAGCAGGTTTTGGAGGAGCAGAGTGAGGGAGCTAATTGAAGAGGCCTTTACTCATTTAGACTGAACCCCGGTCGTCTTGATGAGTAGGAGGTGAACCCGGCTGAGCCCTGCCTGGCCCGCAGAAGGGGAAATGATCCGGGAAGGGTGAGGAGGAGGATGGGGGAAAGGCGGTGAGTGAGTCAGTGGTGGCAGCTCTGGGATGGGGAGGGTCACACACAACCACACTCTTTGTGTGCCTCTAATCCCCCCAGCCAACACAGCTTTGGCCAGGTTTCATCATGAAAGTGCCATGAAATAACTACTTTTTTTCTCTCCTCGCAGTAAATCTCCCCTAATCCTGCGGGCTGCGGAGACAAAGGCCTCTGGGACCTAATCCTGGAGCTTTTAGTGGGGCTGAGGGGCTGGCCGACAGAGCCTCTTCTAAATGACTTATTTCTATCGGACACTAATATAGCTTGACAGCCAAGAACAGCGAAAGGAGGAGGAAAAAAAAACCAGGGGAGGAAAGAAAAAAAAAGAGCACAAACATTTTCACATATTTTGGAAGTCTGAGCAGTTGATTGTGTGCAGAGGAAGAAGTGGACCATGGTTATTTGTGTACACCACTCAAAGTATACGACAGTCAAGGCATCTCACACGTTTAAATCTGCGAATGTTGATAAAATATTAGATGATTTGCTCTTGTGCAGCTGATTAGGGTGGAGGAATGTACCTGTAGCATCTTATTTAGCATCAAAATATGTTTGTTAGGTGAGAATGTGAACTGAAATTAAAATGAAATACTTGATAACAATATGCAACAAGTTGTTTTTTCACTGCAAAGCATTATGTTAGACAACTTTACACTTTTTATGTTAATGTTTTTGAGTTTATATTCACATTAAAACAATAATAAGATATCAAGTAAACTCATCTTGAATATTTATTTTCCCTGTTGAAAGTTTCTTGTGGATTTTTTTTCTAATTCAAATTGACTTAATTTGGCCTGTAATGTGAAATCAGTGGTGGAAGAAATACTTAGATCAGATATTTTACTTCAGTAAAAGTTTGAATACCACAGTGTAGAGTCTTGCATTCAAAAGTAAAATTACTCATGAATAATGTCCCATTTCAAGATCACATGTATTATATTGGAATGAGATCATCACTTTAATGTTGCAGCTCAATAAAGTCTTTAATAATATATATTAAATTTTGTATTATTAATCTGATTCCACAAAATAACAAGTGACTAAAGCTGTAAAATATACGCAGTGGAGTAAAAACTACAATATTTTCCTCTAAAATGTAGTGGAGTAGTACCTCAAATTGGGCTTAAGTACAGTACTTGAATAAATGCTTAATACTTAGTTACTTTCCACCGCTGTGGATGAAACCGGTCAGGGTCTCACCATGAAGTAAAGATAATTTACAGAGTATGGCAGTGGTGGAAGAAGTATTCAGCTACTTTACTGAAGTAAAATTAGTATTAGCACAATGCAAAGTAAAATGTCTTGATTCCAAATCATAAAGTACAAAAGAAGCATCAACGAAATGTAGTTATACGCATTATTTATTCATTAGTAATACATCATTCAGTAATCATCATCATTACTGAGGCATTAGTGTGTTCCCAGTATGTTGCTCACATATTTGTCCTCAGATGGAGTTTCTGCAATGATCATGAAGTTCAAATTTACATTTTTCGTAGCATTGTAAGGATCCATGTTGACTCGTCTCAACTTGTGAGCACATACAACAAAGACAATTGTGCAAACAGTTACTATCTGCTGAGGAAGATCACCTGCAGTAACTAAATGGACCTAATAGAACTGTTAATATTAAGTATTTTATCTTTTAATTCAACTTTATAGACTGCTGGTCATCTTATGTTATTACTGAAACTCTCTCTGAAACTGTAGCTCTCAGATAAATGTATGTAATATATAGTGAAGTGGAGTTCAAGTGACTTAAAAGGAAAATACTTAAACCTTAAAACTGTAATTAAGTAAATAAGTGAATTATTTATTTGAGTAGGAGGTAAAACTTTAACTCCCCTTATTTAGCATTCATAAACAATGTAGAAACATTTAATAAATGGTTTATAACAAATTATAATGGATACATTTAAATTTGCATTGTTGTGGCAGGACAAATGTATTTATAAAGCAGATTTCATACCCAAAGTGCTTTAAACAAGCAAACAAACTAACAAATGAATATAAGAAGATTAGATGAATTAAAAGTAATAGTAAACAGGTCTTTGAAAGCAGTCAGCATTGTTAAAAGTCTCAGTTCTTCTAGTTTAAAGTAGCATAAAGTGGAAGTCCTCAACCTAAATACTGTGATAAAGTGAAGTACTTGAGTAAATATACTTCCCACCAGTGGATTATTAATAAAGAATTTATTCGAGGAGATGATTTGATGGTTTTTTTTCTGTTCCTGGGAAGACTTCTAATTTAGCTCAGCTGGATCTTAAGAAATCGTCCTCATTGAACAGGGTTCAGATTAACTTCACATGGTGACAGTTTATAGGCAAAATATGGTGCCTGTTAGCAAAACAAACCCTTAAAGAAACCCCCCCCCCTCCTCCGAGTAGAGAGACTGTCAAAGCCAGCGGTATGGGAGAAAGGGGGACCGAGAAGGAGAGCACAATCAAAGGCTGTTATTTTAATCTGTCCTGCCTCGGAGATTAGGCGACCACATTGTTTTAATTGTTTTAACGGGAGGGAATGAAACGCTCGCTTATAGGAGGGGAGGGGGGGGATCCTTGGCATAAATCTCTCAAGTTCAATAGTTTCAAAAACTTGAGCCCCTTGCAACCCCCCTCTCTTCCCTCATCCCACCTAATCCCGGCTAATACCTTTCTTTCTATTGGCTAATGGCTGAGGGGAGCCTGGGTAAATGCTTCTTAAATAGTCGTGGGTGAGAATGGTTTTTCGGAGAATTAGATCTGTGCCACGACAAAAGAGAGCTGGTGTGTGCGAGGATATTATAAGGGGGACCCCCAAAACTGGACTAGGAAATACTGGACTACCACCTCCATAAAGGTCGACTTCTGTGCGTAAAAAGGCGCACCTGGATCTCACGCTCCTGCAGGGTCCGGATCTCAGGTAGGAAGGTTTTAACTGCTTGCATGACGGGAAAAAATGAGGGGAGATTTCTAGTGTCTTGATTATATGATGGATATCAATGAAATCTGGGGTTTGAGCTCCATTATTGAGGTGCATAATGTTCATTTTATGGCTTTAAGATGCAAAATATGTGTAAAATTGTGAGAATATTCTGAATCTTACAACTTTTTTAAAAAACAATTTTTTACAAACGTGTTAATTAACTTATAAAATAAAGCTCACAATATGAAAATAAGAAATAGAAGCTCTGAGAAATGATGGTTCCTTTAATAATAACTTATCCGAGAGTGTATTTGTTGGTTTCTCATTCTAACAATTTACCAAACTAACAGATAATAACATCCTTATTTATTCCCTTTCCTATTATTCCCAAGTGTGTTTAGTGAGTTTTAGAGACTTGCACCCTCCAGTCGGTAAAAAAAGTCTTTCTGTTTCCTTAGATTCAACATGAACTCCTTGAATTTCTGCGGGCCGTCCAGCGGTGCCGTGTATCCCCTCCACGGCGTTAACTCGGTGCTGTTCGACCTCCACCACCAGATGGCGGAGCAGTACCACGTTTACTCCGCAGCCAGCCCCACAGTGCACACCCTGTCTGTGGCTGAGAGACTGGCAGGTAGGTGGTCCTGGTCCTGGTCCTGCACAGACCCAAACACTCACAGTCACTGACCCCTCTCACCAGAACCATCCAACCGCTTATTAGTTATAAAGAATATAATATCCATATGTTGCTATGAACTGTTTAAAATGTATGTATAACATTAAATACATTGATGCATTTACACACAAGTACTGTACTTTAATACTTGAGTATTTCCATTATGTGCTACTCCATATATCTACTCAACTACATTTATTTGACAGCTTTAGTTACTTTGCAGATTTAGATTAGTAATACAAAACATAACCAACAAATAAATTCTATGTGATTAACATTAAGACAGAAAGATAAATGACACGGTACCACAGATATTAACAGCAACAAGGGTATAAACAACAACAACAACAACAACAATCTAGTTGCCTGTATTTAATTAGTTACTTACTTTTTCTTATTTTTATATTTACAAATAATTTATATTATCATAGATTAAGATGAGACTTTACTGGACTTTCACAAGCTTCCCAGGAATTAAAGTGATGTACACATTAATGCTTAAATAAATAATTATAATACAGTAATATAATACAGTTACACAGTTTTCTGAAAGGGCCTGTTATTCATGAGTACTGACACTTTTGGTACTTTAAGTATATTTTGATTGATTTGAGTATTTCTACACTGTCGTACTTTTACTTCAGAAAAGATCTGAGTACTTTTTCCACTGCTGGTGACTTTGCAAATTAAGATTTTAATCATAAAATTGGCTTTTATAAAATAATTTAATTTCCCAGCAGTGTATAGATTAGATAAAAAGAGCCCATTGATGATACTTATCTAGATCTACTTAAGAAATGAATTAAAGACTTGTTGTAATGGAGCATTTTAGAGTCTAAAATCAGTCCAGACTGGGTCTATAAAGGTCAGACCTCTACTGCATCCCTAATAACACAGAAAACATCAAATGACCAGAGGACTTTCTGCTGACTCAGAGTTTGTTTTGGTGATGACGTTTTATTTCTCTCCATCCTGGCAGAACTTATTCTGGAGGCTCGGTACGGCAACCAGCAGAAGCAGCGCCGCAGCCGAACGGCATTCACAGTGTCACAGCTGCAGGCTCTGGAGAAAGCCTTCCAACAGACACAGTACCCAGACGTCAGCATGAGAGAGCGGCTGGCCGTCTGCATCAACTTGCCCGAGGCTCGCATACAGGTGAGCGCACACTGCCCAGCACCTGACTGTGAGACATGTTTGTAGTTGTTAGAGTCCTTAATGGAGGTAAGAAAGTGGATGATATCAGTCGTAGGAACTGTTGTAGTTTAGCTCAGTTTCTAGTTAAGATAGTTATTAATGTTTTCACCGTGTTATATTTCTCTTATCGGCCTCTTTAGTGTTTGTTTTGTGATTCTTATGTGTGATTTGGCTGCTGTAAGTCTGCATTTTTTACCTTAGAGATTAATAAAGTACTTTATTATACTAAAATTACCCTTAATATAACTTTTTATCCCTTTATTTAGTCTTACTTTAATTTTTATGTCTGAATTTCTACACACGTTCACATTTTTTATGCAGTCTTCTAAAGTTGGTTTCCAAGTCCTTTTAAAGGTTTAAATGTTATTAAAGGACTCGTGTATGAATTCTGCTATTTCCATAAACTGACCGTTGCTATCTACTCATCCAGGTGTGGTTCAAGAACAGGAGGGCAAAGTTTCGTAAAGGTCAGAGGTGCTCCCCGCTCTCCAGAGACCACGGTCTGGAGGAGGCACCACACTGCAGCAAGGTGGGACAAGAGGAAGTCAGGACCAAAGACAAGGAGGACATCACCACATCACACACTGACAGCAACATCCCTCCTCACCACTGCCCTCCTCCTCCTCCTCCTCCTCATGTGGATAAAACCAGGGATGTTTGCCCACCTCTCGCTCCCTCAGACTCTGATGTTTCACGGTGCGCCCTCCGACTTCACTCTCCCCCGCTTTTCCCCTTCATGACGGGGGAGCGCTACAGCCACCCACCTCACCAGCCGGTTGTAGGAGTGCTGTCCACCGAGCTCGCCCTCCCCCCGGTGTTCTGGCCCATCATACAGCAGCACAGCTCCGCCTTGGGGGTTCATCCGTCGTCAGTGACTAAAAACTGCAGCCTCTCCCTTCAGACTGCCAGTAAAGCTTTGTCTCACCCTCACCTGGGGCTGCAGTTGTAGACCGGCACACCTGCAGCCCGAGATCTCTGATCCTTGTGGACACCTGAAGCAAACCCTGTGTGGGAAAAGACAGGGTGACAAGGTAGAGAAGCACTTACTGCCTTGTTCCTGTAAACTTGTGTACAGGCAGTGCACAGAAGATTCATTTTTATTTAGTTATTAAATGTCTAAAGGGATGTAAAGCTGTGCAGTTATATACTCTTTTTTTTTTTTTAGGAGTCTGATTTGGTTCTGCTTTAATTAACATCTACAAGTTTGGTTTTAGTTCTCCAGTGTTTACTTGAAGAAGGCTATTTGGTTATGGACAACAAGCAGTGTAAACACCACATTTAAAGTACCAGTGTGTAACATTTAGGAGGATCTATTAACAGAAATGTAATATAATATTCATAGGTATATTTCCATTAGTGTGTAATCACCTGAATAAAGACATCATTGTGTTTTTTATCACCTCAGAATGTTTTTTAAGATATTTCTTGGGCTTTTTATGCTTTTATTTTGATAGGTACAGTAGCCCAGAACGGACAAACCAAACACTGGCTCTAGTTAGGGCCTTTCGTGTTTTGGTTGAGCTTCTCCTGCACACATTCTCATTCCCAGGTTGTCAAAAATACAGATGCAAGATGCCACTAAATCCTACACACTGGTCCTTTAAACATCTTGTTGTCTCCTTCAGCAGTATTTAGCTACACTGCCAAGTATCTACACAGTAATAATGGTGGTAATAACATCTGAGAGAAGTTCCTTATTGTAACTAGGCACTGAAACATAGAAATGTAATAAACAAAATACGATTATTTGTAGCTGAATTCTTGAGTTTTCTTCCTTTTGGGTTTTGTTAGTTCTGCCAGTTGGTTTTCACTCACTTAAAAGATGCAAACTATTCAGGCTGAGTGATGATTTATCAACAGTGGAACTGTATTGTGGTGATTATGGTAACAACATGTTATCATTTAAGTCAGTTTGATTATTTTATATACGATTGTGCCGTATATTAATATTGGAAAAGTAACAATATTGTGACATTGATGCCCAAGTTTGAGTTTTTTTTTTGTAACTTGGTAACACTTCCAGCAATAATTTGTGTATCTACTTATATACATTTCTGTATGTAAGGAAGCCGAACAGCTGACAGCAGAAAAACAACCTTAAACTTGATTAATTTGGGGAAGCAAATGAGACATGAATGAGCTTTAATTTGACAGAGACCAAATATTACAATATATTTTAGGGTTTGTATGAAGGATTTTAGTCTTTTTAAACATGGGTATGGTTTCCAGCTTCTGAATGATCAGAATTCCTCTGCAGTGTTAATCCCTGGGATGTGAATTAGGTATGGTTGCAGTTAATGATCAGTCAGTTAGTCTGTCACTCGTTTTATTGATTTATTGATTCATTGTTTAGTCTATAAACTGTCAGAAAAGAGTAAATCACATCAGAATTCCCCAGAGCCGAAGTTAAGATATTTAACTGACTTGTTCTGATTCCTAATAGTCCAAAAACCAAAGATATTTAGTTTAGAAAATATTCACATTTTACAAGCTGGAACAGGTTAATTATTGGATTTAACTTGAAATATAATTTAAACAATTAAAAACATCAGAATTGTTGCAGATTACTCATTTATCAGCTCTAAATTTAGTTTAATCAATATTTGTTCTATGATATGGGTGAATTAGTGTCTCAGTATTTATAAGTCAAAATATTGAGAAAGATGATTTTTTCTTTGATTCTAAGTGAATATTTTTAGAAGGTTTCTCTGTATTTTCAGATACCAAATCATTATTTTGAGAAAGTGTACTATTATTGTGATATATTAAGACAATATTTTGAGATTGTAAGTCATAAATATTGAAAAAGTTTATCATTATTTGAGATACTAAGTTAAAATATTGAAAAAGTTTATCATTATTTGAGATACTAAGTTAAAATATTGAAAAAGTTTATCATTATTTGAGATACAAGTTAAAATATTATCTGAGATACTAAGTTAAAATATTGAAAAAGTTTATCATTATTTGAGATACTAAGTTAAAATATTGAAAAGGTTTATCATTATTTGAGATACTAAGTTAAATTGAGAAAGTTTATCATTATCTGAGATACTAAGTTAAAATATTGAAAAAGTTTATCATTATTTGAGATACTAAGTTAAATTGAGAAAGTTTATCATTATCTGAGATACTAAGTTAAAATATTGAAAAAGTTTATCATTATTTGAGATACTAAGTTAAAATATTGAAAAGTTTATCATTATTTGAGATACTAAGTTAAAATATTGAAAAAGTTTATCATTATTTTGAGATACTAAGTTAAAAATATTGAAAAAGTTTATCATTATTTGAGATACTAAGTTAAAATATGGAAAAGGTTTATCATTATTTTGAGATACTAAGTTAAAATATTGAAAAAGTTTATCATTATTTTGAGATACTAAGTTAAAATATTGAAAAAGTTTATCATTATTTGAGATACTAAGTTAAAATATTGAAAAAGTTTATCATTATTTGAGATACTAAGTTAAAATATTGAAAAAGTTTATCATTATTTTGAGATTAAGTCATAAATATTGAAAAAGTTTATCATTATTTGAGATACTAAGTTAAAATATTGAAAAGTTTATCATTATTTGAATTAAATAAAATTAATTATTTTGAGTTACTAAGTGAAAATATTGAAAAAGTTTATCATTATTTGAGATACTAAGTTAAAATATTGAAAAGTTTATCATTATTTTGAGATACTAAGTGAAAATATTGAAAAAGTTTATCATTATTTGAGATACTAGTGAAGAAAAAAATTTATCATTATTTGAGATACTAAGTGAAAATATTGAAAAAGTTTATCATTATTTGAGATACTAAGTTAAAATATTGAAAAAGTTTATCATTATTTTGAGATTGTAAGTCATAAATATTGAAAAAGTTTATCATTATTTGAGATACTAAGTTAAAATATTGAAAAAGTTTATCATTATTTTGAGATACTAAGTTAAAATATTGAAAAAGTTTATCATTATTTTGAGATACTAAGTGATAATTATTGAGAAAGTTTATCATTATTTGAGATACTAAGTTAAAATATTGAAAAAGTTTATCATTATTTTGAGATACTAAGTGAAAATATTGAAAAAGTTTATCATTATTTTGAGATACTAAGTGAAATTATTGAAAAAGTTTATCATTATTTTGAGATACTAAGTGAAATTATTGAGAAAGTTTATCATTATTTGAGATACTAAGTTAAAATATTGAAAAAGTTTATCATTATTTTGAGATACTAAGTTAAAATATTGAAAAAGTTTATCATTATTTGAGATACTGAGTGAAAATATTGAAAAAGTTTATCATTATTTGAGATACTGAGTGAAAATATTGAAAAAGTTTATCATTATTTGAGATACTAAGTGAAAATATTGAAAAAGTTTATCATTATTTGAGATACTAAGTTAAAATATTGAAAAAGTTTATCATTATTTGAGATACTAAGAAAAATATTGAAAAGTTTATCATTATTTGAGATACTGAGTGAAATTATTGAAAAAGTTTATCATTATTTGAGATACTAAGTTAAAATATTGAGAAAGTTTATCATTATTTGAGATACTAAGTGAAAATATTGAAAAAGTTTATCATTATTTTGAGATACTAAGTTAAAATATTGAAAAAGTTTATCATTATTTCGATACTCTAAGTCAATATTTGAGAAGGTTTCCCATCATAACAACAAACACACTCTGAAATCTGCTTCTACAGGACTTCAAAAATCAAAATCAAAATCCCAAACGTGTGAAACCCCCCTCCCGTTTTTACGTACGCCTGATGTTTCAGTCCAATTCTCCAAACGCAGTTACGTCAGTTTCGAGCCACCGTGACGCGGCGCCCGGGCATCGGCAGCCGACGGAGACTTAAAGAGACAACAGCGGGATCATAGCAACTTGAGGGGGCAACGAGAAAGAGACCCACGGACGAACAACCATGACTTCGACGACGTCTCGACAGCTCACATTTTAAAGGTAACACGCTTCTCCTTCTGGCGGCGGAGAATACACACGTACAGCTGTTGTTTTTTTAAAAGAAAGAAAGATAAATAAATAAAGACGCCGTGTCGCCGCACACTGAACGTCGCTGCTAATGGTTCGTATGCTAAAAATGGCTAGCGAGCTGAGCGGCGAGAGATCCCCGGCTGCCGTCCGTCGGTGAGCGGTCGGTTGTTCAGGATTAAGGAGTTGCCCGGTAGCTGTCGGTGGGTGAAGGCTATAAACTGGGATCTGAACTACATAATAAAACAACCCCCGATACCCTCAGGTGAAAACAAACCCCCTGTTTTTTTTATGTAATTGTAAAGATATTTGTCTGAACGCGAACTCCAGGAGTCGCTGACATTCAGTCGTTACAACGTCGTTTGTTATTTGTGAGTTATTAAACGTTTACTGACGTTAACCCGGGTTAGTGTCAGTCGGTCCATGTTGTTAGGCTTCCACTAAAGGCACAGGGTTGTTAACAGATGATCAAATAACATCGTGAGCTGGTTTTTATCAGGCGTTTGGGCCAAAAGAGGATCGCTGTTTTTTTTTTTTTTTTTTTTTTTTTTTTGGAGGGGGTTAGCTAGCTTAGCTTTAATATCGCTGTGTGACATTTCGATTTACCCGCAAAACAGGAAGATAAACCACCATTATTATATATTAGTTTACCCTTACAGGTGATGTTGTGTTTATGTAGCACACAAAAACGGCTCCAAGTTAACAAATTGCCTGCGATTGAACGACATCCAGCTAACTTGAGCTTGCTAACTAACGCCAACATTGAGCATCTGGCCTTGTTCGCCGATCCTGCTAACATAAAGTCAACCCAGACTCTACCTTTAACGATAGTGAAGGCTTGTAAGGTTTTCTTTCCTCTCTCCTCATCTTGTATCGGGGAAAAAACCACAACTTTGAGTGTTTATTAAAGGCAGAAAGCAGCTACTAACTAACGCTGAGTGACAGCTGGCTGTTAGCTGCCTGTTAGCTCACGTTAACACAGATTTTAATATATATATATATATATATTTTCTACAACGATATAAAAAGAGAAAACGTGTCAGTTTCATGTGATGTTTGTTGACAATCTGAGGGCTCACTCAGTTAACTGTAGCACAAGCTGACGACAGATCCAACCTCAACATATTCACTTTTTATTTTAGTGTATTTCGTCTGTGTGTGTGTTTAAATACCGACTCTGGACTCACTCGCTGGGGGTTTTTAAGGAAATTGGTTTGCTTTACCAAACAGCCGACGTGAATAACAATACACAACTTCCTGAAATGAGTCTAGACATATGGTCCAAGATGGCCCAAAAAACTTAACTGAGACGGTGAGTTAATTAGATCTGTGTTGTCTTCTCTCATGTCAAATGTATGGACTTGTATATTTTATTTGGTCACCTTGACAGGTGCTTGGTGTGTTGCACATTTCATTGAGCTTTTACCCACCTTATTTATTCTAATTCAAACCTTGTAACCAGGTAGGTTAGTCTACCAGGCGTCGTGCTACAAGGAAGACATGAGAGTCTAATGATTGACTGCATACCTGGCCTGTAAACGTGGTTTGTCCGAGTGTGCCGACTGCAGTAGTGAAGGAATACAGACATGACACAGGATTTTCTCTGTATTTTAATGGGTTGTGATGGTTAGATTAGTTCTTAGTCTGTCAGATACAGCTGAGCTAGCTGTAGACTAGACTGTATCAAAATCCTTCCAATAATGTGCCTCCCCACAATGCAGATGTTACGATGAGATGAGGCATTACAGCAGTCATTGATCTGTGTAAGTGCCTTTCCATAGGAAAGAGCTGCTGCCCATCGCTAGTGCCTGCATTACCTGCTCTCTTCAGCACCACCAACATCTTAGATCATGGACATGGGGGAGTTAGGAGAGCTGGTCTGGACAGAGACGTCTGCATGTGCCTGCTAGTGAAAAAGCTAGACCCAGAGATGGATTTAAGCTTTCTTTGGCAGTGTAACTTGCCAAAGAAAGCTCAAATTGTTGTTGTAGTTGATGTTGTTTGTGCCTGGCATTGCATCTATAGTAGTGTGTGCTTTAGTGTTTATATTGTTACTTCTTTACTTTCACTTTTCTTTCTAATCGTGACCTCTTAGACGTGTGTTAACGTTACCAGAAGCGTGCAGATCTTTTTTTTTTTTTTAGCCTGAAACTTAGTGTAACAGTGTTTCAGACATTAAGATACATCAGTCTCATTTATAAGAAGAACTTTTACAAATTTTGTGTGTTTTCGGCTTTCAAAAATATAGGTTTATTTGTAAAATAGATCTTTTCTCTCGTGTCTGTGGAATATTTCCGCTCATATCGATTGCTTTATTGAATTTGCCGTGCGCTGGTCTGGAGCGAGATCTCATTTCAGCTGTAGTAAGGAACAGCCACAGTAAACATAATATGATCTTCAAGTAAAAGGTTTCAGTTTTTTTCCAGAAAATTTTAATCCCCTTATGGCCACGAAGTGTTATCAGAACAGATAATGATTGATTTGTTAAGTTTTTAGATATTTCGGCGTCTATTGATTGCTTCACAGATTATGCTTATATAGTGTTTAACAGTGCATTTGATTGTAAGCGTAGAATTGGATAGCTGCTGGAGAGGGTATCTCATCTGCACTTAGTTAACATCACGAGCATCTGTTCTTCATTTCTTAACAAGAATAAGTTATGACTGAGTTTATTTGTGACAGATGATCCCTGTTGTTCTACAGCCTGTACAGGAAAAAGACTGATTTCTGTCTATTTTTGTTTTTGCAGATCTCCAGCTGACGTCAAACGCATCCTTGACCCGTCTTCCTCGTCGCTGTGTTCTCTGACTCTGGGTTGCCCTCATCTGCTGTGGCCCCTGCAACATGGAGAGTGTCCACTGTGTCACTGAAGGCTGACCAGAAGGAATGAGGCACTCCAGGAGATGTTCCCAAGTGGCCTTTTGGATGCAGTAGCTGGGTTTCGGAGTGCTTTTTTATGACTAGTATTGTATGTGTGTCTGTGGACACATCCTAGCACAACCTGCCTACTCCTCAGGCAGGGACATGCTACTCTGAGACTGGAGCTGAAACGTATAAGAAAGGAGCCCCTCTGGTAAACAAGGAACACAAAGAAGAAACAAAGGGAAGCACTCGGCATCAAGAGCTGCCTGATAGACACACGGGGCGCTTCAGCTGTAGTTTGAGCTCATTTAAGTGTCTTCTGAATCCGTGCACATTTTAACAGCAACACCTTTCCTCTGTCCTGTGAGATCTGTCCCCTTCCCCCTCCCTAAAGCCTCCTCCATCGTTGTTATTGGAGTTTCTATGGTTTGCATGGCTGGAGAATAACCGTGGAGAGGCCAGGGTATCACAAGCTTATGGATTTTGACAAGAGAGGGGGCAAGGGAGAGACAGAGGACGGGAAAAAGATGTCTAAGACAGCAGGCAGCAGGACTGGACATGGGGGCCGGAGTTCGGGGACCAATTCTGGAGTTCTTATGGTTGGCCCAAACTTCCGAGTGGGTAAAAAAATCGGCTGCGGGAACTTTGGAGAGCTGCGGTTGGGAAAAAACCTCTATACTAACGAATATGTGGCCATCAAATTGGTGAGTGCATCTTCAGGGTTGGTGAAGTAGCAGAGAAATTTGAACTCGCAATTTTAGTTATGCCCCACACCACTGTTCTGGTACTTCTCCAATATCAATGCATCCTATATGAGGAATACTGCTTATCTGATGATTATTGTGCTTTTTTTAAAGTTTATTTTGATGTGCAGCAGACTGTCTTTGTGCAGTTGACTCTTTGACCCAAAAGCGACAGACTCAAAATTAAATAGGAACTCTCCCCTACCCCCCCATCCTCCCCATGTAAAGTTAATGGGTCAACCGTGCTATGCTTGTGGTTATCAAAGAGTTGAAGAAGAGTGAGCTGAGACAGGATAATATCTATAATATAATATTTCAAAATGAGGGCAAACTGAAAGGAAACCTTGTATTTTGTTAGTTCCTTAAAGTATTTCTAGATAAGTGGTGAAGCTTACTTGCTCTCCTCTGGGTTGAAAATCAAGCCTTGACAATTTTATGAAAATAGGCACTCAATCTAAAACAATGTTCTTTTGTAAAAGCAACATTTTCCAACCTCCTACCTATCGTACATTTTCCCCAGTCAGTGGATTTAACATCAATTCTTGTGGAAGCTGTCCCTCTAATAATCTCACACCAGGCCTTATGAGCAATCAATAATTTACTGTGTCTCTTTGTTTTGTGTCAGCATGAACACTTTTTTTCAGAGCCACTGGTTTAGTAGCATTTAGACAGGCTGTGAAAACCACATGAAATGTTAAGGCCTCTTTGTTTTCTTACAGTCTAGGCCAACCATTGGCTGCTCAGCCATTTCCTCTTCACATCACTTCTATAAATGTGTTGCCACTTGTAGTGCTTTCATCATCGGCAGATTTTTTTTTGTTTGTTTCTCTGACAGTGCCTTAATGTAAGCAAGGCCTAACTCAAACTCTAGTCATAGTCTAGTCATACTAAAGCTGATTCACTCGTCTGCGTATGATTATTCTTACATTTGTGTTTCCCTGCGAGGTCATTATCTCTTAACAGGCATCCACCGAAGGCTTTGCTAACCACATAGAAGGCAGAGGTTAGCAAACAGCTGTAATTGCAGTTCTCCTCTCCTCTGAAATCTTTAGTTGTGCTTGCTGCCGCTCCCCCTTCGCCTGTGAACCCTCCCATCTGTGTGGGTATTTTTATCCCCATGGTGTCCAGCTATATCTGGATCTGGCATTAGGGCCATGACACTGCTCCATGGATCTCGTGGCCCACTGGACCCAGCGTTTATTTGAATGTGTAATAATGAGAGGAGGAAGTGTGCTAATGGTGTCAACAAAGCTTGACAAGGCCAGATTAATAGTAGGGCCTGATTATGAGGACTCTGTTTTTATTTAGGTTTCATTTTCAGGACTAATTTCACATTCTGATTTATGTTTTCTTGTTGTTAATTATATGTTACATATAGTATGTTGACTGTTCATTGTAATTCATTTGATGTTCAAATATTGACATATTTTAGGCTCATATTTTCAACATGAATGACAAGACAAATGGGACTTTAAGTACTTTTCAGCCTGTACACTGGTGTTTTTTACGCCCTGACATAGAGAGGTCTTCTCCCTTGTCAGTTCTTGGGTTAACCCAGACGCTGGCACAGTTGTCTGTCCACATGTTTCTGTCTGTCCCTGTTCTCACAGCTCCCTGGGGGTAACCCAGTGAATGTCACTGCCTGTCCAGTTAGGCATCTGTTTTGTCAGAGGCTGTTACTGAGCTCTTCCTTATGGACTAACTCAAATAGCAGCCCCGTTATCTACGACCACCTGCTAACACATGCTTGACACGAGTAGTCTCCCCCGTTGTCAGTCACTCCAGTGGTAACTGCTCACTTGTAGATATAATCTAAAATAGTTGTCAGCAAAGTATAGGACTAGAAAAAGACTCTCTGTTGATCTTTGTTTTATTAAGTCAAGTGTGTTGGGCAGTTTGATTGAATATGAATTTGAATTGGATAAGAATGAAGAAAATATGAACAGATATATATTAAACTGAAGGATGATGTTTTCATATTGCTTGTTTTGCCTGACCAATCAGTCCATAACCCAAAGATATTCAATTTATTATTATTTAAAAAAGAGAAAAACAGCAAGTTCTTACATTTTAGAGACTAGAACCAAATGTTTGATCAAACTTGGCCAATATGACTTGTTAACTGATCAACCGTTGGTCTTAGTGAACCTCTGCAGAAGTATGTCAATTATTACTTTGTGACTGGTTGAATGAACTGTAGTTGATCTACCAGGAAACTAATAAGGCAGTTTTGTTAAGAGCACGTGTAATTTGTTATCTGGCTCGTTAAAACTAGTTCAATCTCTCTCCTTTTGTTGTAACTTAATGAATTTTAGACGGCAGCCTCTGAAGGACAGCACGTAGTGATAACTCAGTGTTGAGCTGGTGCCTTTGTGCGGAGTGTCCTGTGTACCAACGTGCGGCGTTAGGCATGTGGGTGGTGCTTGCCTGCACCTGGGACAAAGGTGAATGCCAGTGTCACCCTGCTCCACCACGTGATAGCAGAGATAGAGATGTATGGCAGGGCAGTGCACAAGATCCTCTGTCAGTGGCCCTGGAACTGCTGCGAATGCTGCTGCAGAAAGCAAGAGAGAACAGGGAAACTGCTGAGTGCTGAAAGGTCGTCTTTGTTAGCAGGTCTTGTCGACACACAGTGGTTCAGTCTTTGGTTCAGCTGGATGCTTTCTCACACTGACAAACGCCTGTGTGATGGAGGCAGGACCATATAGCCACTGCTGTAAGTACACTGCAGGCTTTACTCCCAAGGGGAGATCCCAGTGTCTTAAAGAAACAGCAGCGTTTAATGTCTGCTTTCTGTCGAGGCTTGCTGTAGGAAACTAGCAACCATCAGGGCTCATTTAAAGGGTAAAGCGACAGCACCATCTCCATCAATACACTCCCTTGCCATGGTGACATAACTGTCCACTGAGAAAATGACCATCTAATCCTCTTTTTTTTTTTTTTTCCCCCCTAGAACATTTTGCACATTGCTGTGTCATATTTTTTATTTGAACACATGCTATCTTGGTGTAGTGCTTTCTCTCTGACTTTCTGCCACTATCTTCAGCGGACTGTACGGTTTTATCAAGGTCATCAGCTCCCTGTTAACCCCGCCATTGTGCTAGCATTGTGTGGAAGTCCCGTGCACACACACACACCCATCTAATTCAGTCTTTTTTACCAGTTGAATTGGTTTTCATTGACATGTCCACTCTGCAAACAGTTGGAGTTACAAAGTTTACAGCTTGTGTTTCATTGTAGCCTTTATCGTGTAGTTGATCATTAATTGACAAATAGGAGGGAGCCTGCAAAGCTGGTATTATCAGTAATAAGTAATAAACCAATCCGTGGCCTCTTTTTGACGACAAACGCTTGTGACAGTGACAAGTGTGGTAATATCTGCCCAAGATGGGTGGAGAGTAATCATTGAATGTTATAGTGTTGGTACTTATTGTACAGCACTGTGCCTCCCATGGCTCAGGGAGAAGGGGCTGATATTGGAGTGATTATATAGGGAGACGAACACAGTAAACAGAGACCTACTGTGCATTGTGTGCCGGCCATGTACATTCAGACCAGTGTTTTACCCCGTGTGAGCTGGCAGTGCTTGTTCAAAGCACAGATGGATTTCAGACATGAAAATGAATTTGCCCTTTTGCCACCCAAAAAAAATACAACAGTAATCGAGGCTTATTATTTTTAGCTTGTGACCTCGATCGCTCCTGCTGAAATGATAAGTGTCTGCGGACTTTATCAGCTGAAGCTAATTAAGGTTAATTCCTTGACTTGGCCAAACTACAAAATTGAACACTTGACTGTTGTCTAACTGGTGAATGTGCTCTGTTGGTGTCTGTACCTTTTTTACATCTGTGCAAAGATGTTTACCTAGATCTGAACTGTCTTCACACAGTCATTTCAGGTGTCCTCTTGCTTGATTGGAACAAAAACAGCCACCCTTGATTAAAGCGTGGGTGTGGCTGCAAGTTTTTGACTGTGTGAAGACAGTTCAGTTGATTGAATGAACCAAGTCAGGTGTGCTGCTGCATGGTTGGAATGAAAACCTGCAGCCACACGGCCCTTTCACGGATCAGTTTGACACCCCTGACCTAGATTAAGAAACACCCCTCTGTATACAAAAAAATATACAAGACTGTCTTCTTGTTATTCAAAAAAGTTTAGGGTGTTATTTAGTGACATGATCTAGCTCAGTACATCATGTACGTTTTGAGAGAAACTTGTTAGCTTGGTATGTTTTTAGTGTGAATGACAACTGATGGATAGTAAAAAAATAAATAAACGTAATCGCAGTTAAACATTTAAAGCTGCACTAATTAAAAGTTATTTATGAGAATCAGGTCAAATGACAATCTAATATGAGAGATGTCATTCTCTCTGTGGAGCGTTTTAGTATCTTTCAGCTGATTGTTTTGTTTCTCCAGCCTGCAAATTTACTGTTTGGTTCAGTCTCACTGCTCTCATTAGTGTCATTTCCAGCTGCTGCAGGCAACTGTTTTCAAAGAAAAAGCTATTTATAAACCCACTGTATCCTACTGCCCAAAAAGCACACTGACAAAGTTAGCACATGTATTTTTCAGGAGTTGTTAAGGAGCAAAACAAAGCTATAAGGAGAGTGAATATTTGGCTCACATGTTGGCCGTAACTTTTTTTTGATGTAATAATAGGTCAAACATGTTTGCGATGTTCAGCCTGTCGTTGAGTTCTGCTCTCAAGTGGCCCAAAAAGATTAGTAATGCTTTAAGTATTTCATAACGTTGTTTATTGCTTCCAAAGAGCACCTGTGGCATTGCATGGTATGTAATCGTACTGTATGTAGAAGAAGGGTGCAATGCCTCTGGCAGGCTTTTTGTTTTCTTTGGCTGAGTCACTAATGCAGAGGCATAAGAATAAGGTGGTTTAAATGAGCGAAGCCACTCATGGTGCTGGTCAGTCGTGATACTCTGAAGGAAATCTGAGGTGTCGTGCTGAACTCTCCTGCCTGCCTCCCACTGAAGCATGATAAGGAGCTCTTGTTGCAGTCTAGCTCAGCAGCTTACACCAGCTCTTCATGAGGCAGTTGTCGAAGAGCTGTGAAGGCACAAAAGCTCTATCAGCATGTTTGGCTGGAACTAAAGTGACATTTTGACGATTTAAGTTCTTCCCATCCCCCTTTGGGCTCTCCCGAGAGCATGCTGGGCAGGCAAAATGAATAAATCCTTGGATGTCAACAGCATGTAAAAGCCTACCTTCAGTCAACTAGCTAATCCTCTAATGAATCAGTAGCCAGTAGCAATACAGTACGCTCACACAGACACGCATTGTTGCTTTGAGGATGATTTAGTAGGACTCATAAAACCTGCACAGGAGAGTGTAAATGTCGGTGACTTCGGGGGAAGCGACAAGAACAGTGTCAGTGTTTTTATGTAGGAATACTTGAGTGCAAACTGTGACTGCGCAGAAAACAGGTTTGAATATGGTGAAGGGTGTGTGCCTGTAGAGCAGTGAGTGCTGTGTAATTTGTACTTTGTAAGTGTACATACTGGGTCTTGGTAAAGCACTATCATATTTTCCATTTTTTTAAGGAGTTACACCGACACTATACTCTTGTATATTCCAAATTATATGTAATGTTCAAGGCAGTAGCAGTAGTTAGCTAGTTTCTCACTCTCTTATTGTGATTATGGCGACTGCTGTGAATTTACACTGCACTGTTCTGTCTTAACTTTCTTTATAGCAGCATCATTGAAGTGGTAAACTAGAGCCAAAATAACCAAACCAGAATCAGATTATGGTAATTTGAAAAGGGCTGAAGCCAAATTGACCTCAGGTCTATTTTTGAGAGTTTGCTTTGCAAGACAAAATGGCAAAGTTTGAGGTTAGAATTAAAGCAGCTTCATAACATGTAAGAAATTTAAAGTATGTCGCTGCATGGCCCGAGTTTGACAGGATATGCAGCGCAGACCATAAGAAATAGGACAGTGGCACATTTCTTTTGTTTCAGTCAGATTGTAGGCCCCTTTTTTACTGCGGACATTGTTTGAAAGGAAAACCACAGATGTAATTAATAATTTCAATAAGGGATGCTATCCAGAGAGCAAAGCTATCGTTAATGGTATTAATTACTTGCACTTTAACCCCAGGCACTGTTTAATTTTAACCAGAATAAACAATATTTGCTGATCAGATTGTACACTGGAGCAAACATCCAGAACAACAAAAATAACTCTCTGTCCTTCTGTCTGGTGGCAGTACCGTGCTCTTATTCCTACAAATGTCAGGACCCGATATAAAAAAATAAATAATTTTAAGTTAAACAAATGAAGGGAGTACACAATACAATACATTGTACTTACGCCATGCCTCGCCCCACTATTAAATGACAAAGGAGACTTGCCTCTTGGGTTCATGTGAGTGGAACTTCCCATGACTGTTGATCACTGGCAACATTGTGTGCTGTGTTTGCTTTCCTCTGTCTGTAGCAGCTGAGTTCAGCATGTTTTTAAAGAGCCAGCCCAACTTTAACAGAATGTTTGAAACCTGCTAATTTCTATTGATTTGTTTTTTTTTTTTATCACATTATCATGGAAACAAATGGGGGGGGTCAATATGTTATTTTGTCGGAAGCTTCTTTCAACTTCCTGAATCAATACCTAATCCCATTATAAAAGTCAATTAACATCAAAGTACGATCTGAAGTAATGCAGTTTTTTTTTAAATTCACAATCATTTTGAACATTGCAGCTCTCTTAGATCCACCTGAGGCCGGATAATGAGACCAGACATTGTATTTCGAACTTCTGTGCAAGCCGTCTTTGGTGTTGACAATGAGATAACACGATACACCATAAATGGTCCCGATGCTCTCTCTCCATTCATTTAGCGGTACCACAACTCTCCCCCCTAACAGCCCCTCCTGTGTAGAAAAATGTCACCACAATTAAAATGAATCATCTGGTCTAAATCATGACGATATTTTTATTAACATATGATGTGAATATAGGTCAGAGGCCTCAGTTACTGAGCTCAATTCAATTTTATTTGTATAGTGCCAAATAATGACAGGAGTGATCTCAGGATACTTTTCTCATGTGATCATCTATTTAAAAAAATAAAAATAAATCTCCAGGACAATGAATTGATGTTTTGATTCTGATTTCAAGCAGTGTTGGATTATCAGACTGGGTTTTGGGAGGGTGTGTTAAATCTGAGCTGAAACAGGAGAAGTGCTGGACACTGGCCAGCTGTTGCTCTCTGACACCACTCGCTCCTTAACACCGCCTCCCAGCCATACACTCCTCTGATCATAAAGACTGCTGGAATAGGGAAACACACACACACACACTCACACTCACACACACACTTCAACGTTCTCCATTTGTTTTAACCTTACAGTTAGCGGTTAGCATCAGTCATGCCCCTATGAAGGCCGCTGACTAGAGATGCACTATGTTTGACATTTGAGTTGCTCTGTCTAAGATGAGATGAGTCACATTGCCAGTTGCATATTGTGAAATGGTTTACTGGGTGTCAGGCAAAGGTTAGGGTCTATTCTGGGCCTTATGCATGATGTTGGGTCTGTTCTAGTGGACATGGCACACGGCATACGTATGCACCCGTTGAATGTCACACGGTCTATTTTCTGGATGATAAACAACACAAATATTTATGTGTTACATTACATCATCCCAGCTGTCTTTTTTTTTTTTTGCTGTACCATTTAGGGTTTAAAATACACAACATAGCATCGTTTAATGTAGAAGATGAAAGAAAACTGAAGCTTGAACCAGTGAATTTCTACCATTTTTGCCAGATTTGTTTTCTGGTGATTGACTAATTGTTTTATTTAAAAAGGAAAAAACTAAATACCATACCTACAAAATAAAATACATAACTTGGACTCATAAGATAGTAGATAATTATGATCGCAGTGACCATTCGTGTGTAATTATTTGTCAGAATTCACTAGATGTGAAATTCTAGGTGGTGTTTGCGCAGGCTTTGGTCAGTGATATCACATGGTATGTACATTTCTGTTTGTTTTTCATTTTGAATTAATATTTTAAGTTTTGACCAGATACTAGATATGCAGCATAACGTGTTTAGGCTGTAGCTGTGGTTTACGGTTTCATGTCTGTCATTTGCAATCCCTTTTTAAAATTCTCATCGCATCGATCATTTATAGTTTTCTTTTTCCCTCTTCGTTTGATGGTCGTTGCTCCATCCATTCACCGAGGTCAGTTCTGATCTTTCTCAGCTGTGTTGGAGCAGAGATCAGATTTAGCCCGGATGACATCATATGCAGAGTTGGTTAATCCCAGGAAGAGGACTTTGTGTGGTGCTGATGGCTTGCTCCGTCCATACAAGTCTACCACAGGTTAAAATACAGAAACCACCACCTAATCCGTGATGACATAATCATATATTTATACAAGCTTCAAGTGTTTTACTCTAAGAGGGATCCTTGGCTTGCAACATTTCATCTCACACCCATCCCCAGGCTGTTGTAGCTACAGGATTTGACCCTACTAGGGAAGTATTTGCTGGTGGTGCTAATATCGACAAATCTGTAAGCTTTTTAGCTGAGAGCAGCAGCTACTATAAGTCAGTTACCACTGGTTATGTGTCTATCTCGTCTATTGCCTCTGCAATTGTCTGTGTAATTTGACTGTTGCATGTGAGGTTACCTGTTTTCAGCCCCAAACATGTGACTGTGGGATAGTTCTGGTAGCATGTAGGTTAAGTTTTCTAAACTTAATGCTGATTTGAGGAGCAAAACTCAAATGTGTAACTCAAATGTTTATGCACAGTGTACAGACTTCATGGCAAACAAAATTAATATATAAAAATGCAACCAAAACAATTAATATGCGAGCACACACGATAAAATCTCTACTCTTTGTTACACAACCACATATCTATGTATGCATGACAAAAAACATATATCAGATCCACAAAATCTGTCATTTGACGGGTATGATATGATTGTTACAAGGTTTGTTGTCTAGATATGAAACAACTGATCGTCGTTTTAACTCGTTCATTAAGCAAAAATGCTAAATAAATCTCTGGTTCTGTCGCCTTGAATCTGAGGATTTTTCTTTTATATAACTGTAAACTGAATATCTTTGGGCTTTGTACTGTTGGTGGGACATAACAAACATGGGAAATATGGGAACTTGTAATGGATGGTCCACAATTACTTTATTAACTAAATGACTACTTGATTAATGGAAAAAATAATCAATAGAATAATCTATAAAGATAACCATTAGTTGCCGTGCTAATTTGATTTAATTTTATAGACAGCTGGGATGTAATGGCGTGGAGAGTCTGTGTGTTATGACATTCAAATCAGAACAGATCCAGAGTTCAAAGAGAGGATTTGCCTAGGCCGCATAATTGTAACAATATATATTACAATGATGGTAGCAGGTTATATCACTGATTATTGATCGCTTGATAGCCCTAGTGGCTATTGTCGTGGCACTACCTGGTTCATTTAAGACCCTAAACTGAATGAGCTAAAGAAGTTTGACTCCAGCAGGATACAGCAGCTGTGTGTTTTGTCTGGATTGTGGTCTTAAAAATAAGTTCTCATGGAGCTGGAATTCAATATTTCCTAAATTCAAAACATGTTTTGTTTGCTGGTTCTCGGGCAGAGATCTCCTGTACAAGGACAGTTTGGTTTCAGTGCGGGAACAGCTGAGGTGAAGAGGTTACTGTAGCAGCAGGTCAGACAGGGAAGGGCCCTTCTGGCCTGTGGGTCAGCTGCCCTGGACACAAGCCAGCACACTTGGCATTAAGCGGCTCTCTGCATGAAACCACACAGGGAAACCAAAACTTCCACTTCAGTTAAGCGTCACAAACAAGATGAAGTTGAACTGTTAAGTCGTCAGAAAACGGTACATTCCCTTTTTTTTTTTTTTTTTACAAAATTGCTCCCATGGGTGCAGCTCCGCCATGTCAGGGGAGCATGTCAGCACAGGGAGCCGATCAAATATTATTTGATTCGGGCCGGAGCTGTGAAAAATCCTCGTCATATGCAAAGATGTTACATCAGACATTTGCAGCTTGGCCCTGGTCATTTACACAGCCATAGCTTATCCCATCTGCTGGGAATAGAGATGACTCTTAAGTACGTAAAGCTGCCATAAGCCTCTGTTTCCTATTGTAAGCTGTTTTAAAGGGTCCTGTGGTTTGGTGCCATCTGTTTTGAGTCATTATTTATATATTTTTTATATTTTCTTTCCCTCCGCTCCCTGGCATGGCCTGACTTGTGCGAGACGTGCTTGTTGTCCGTATTCATGTGGGAGGTGGATGACGCTACAGCCGTTCCCCGCTCCGCCTCCCCGACTAGTCACGTGTCTTCCTCCTACAGGCCTCCACTCCTCTGTATTGCCTCCTGTCTTCCACTCTCAATTTTCTAACCCCTGGCATGCACAGTGGCTTTTTTACTTCTGGCTCTCTTCTCTGTTGGCATCATGTTTGAGCAGGATGCTGGAACATTTTTTTTTCTCCATAGATAATAGAAAAACATAACCTGTATGTAGTGTTTGTGAGACCACACATTGGATTTTGTTGGGATGTATTGAAGTCACTTTAGTTCTTTCCCATGTTGCAGTCATATGGGAGCAGGAGAATTCATCTGTTTCCCCATCAGTTGTAGATGAACATGTCTGTCGTCACATCAGTCATCTGTTTGTCACCTGATCTTGTGACCTGTGTACGGCTGCTGTTTCTTCTTTTTGCTTGCAAACTAAAACTAAACTGTTAAACGACATAGTTCCTGCAGTGTTTGCCAGAAGTTTGTTAGTGTTCATGAGATGTGACCTTATATCCTATTGTTATATGATCGTCTCTCTTTTATCGCTCATCATTTCAGGTATATCAGTGTTTCATGGTGACTTTTATTTATAACTGAACCTTGCTGATACTTGTAAAACTTCCCCATGTGGCTTCTCAGTAAAGGCCTACCACTGCAATAACATTGAAATGTATTTATTGTGAAGTGTTATAATTTAACACACCGCAGCAGATAAACTCAGAACAGAATAAGTGTGGTGGGAAAACCACAGAGACAGTCGATGTATTAAGTCTGGAGCTGCTTTACTCTTTGCCCCAAGGAGACATTTTGGATAAAGTATTACTGTAAAGGCTCCATGTGATATTTTTTCATATGATTTTAGTTTTGCAAGAATTTAACAAACATGATTTAAAAAAAAAAAAAAAAAAAAAAGCAAAACAAAAACATGTCAGTTGCTCGTCTTTGGATGTTCTTTACCTGCAAATGCAGCTCCCTCCCTCCAAAAGTCATTTCCTTTGGGAAAGTAAAGCTAGTGTAGAAAGTCTGAGCTAGGTTGCTAGCTCCGAGTTTGTGGCTGTTGTTGTTATTGTTGTTATTGTTATTGTTAACATGCAGATAGCAGAAGAGGAGCAGAATGCTGACTAAAATATGGCAGGCTTATTACCCACAGCCTATTTCCTGTGAGTCAGACTAGAATATACGTAGCAGCTGGCGATATAAAACTGAACTCTGCCGGTGGAAAAACAACAGATTTAGAGACTTTTTGAGTTCTTTGTTTTCTTTGACATTTTTACTTAATCAATCAAGGCTGGTAGAATCAAAATTGAGGAAAGTCTGAGGAGCCCTTTTATTTGTTACTACAATCAGGATAATTGATTAAATAAGCATCTGTGTGGGGCATATTTTGGCACGCAGTAAATCGTGGTTGGTCACTTCTTGTTTACCACTTGTTGTTAAACCATCTTTTGATCAAACCTCGACGTGAAAACCACAGAGAACACATCCCATGGGACTGAAAACGGTCATCATAAAATAATAGAAAGTCCCTTATTGTGTTGAGCACAGCTCAGACTTTGTGTGTGCACTCCTACGTGCTAGCCGGGCACCAGAAGAGAAAATGCTCCTGATTTGATAAAGGCCTAATGGAGTGAATGTGGGAGCTTAACAGCTTTCAGCTTTCAGTTTATATAATTTAAAATAGAAGTGCTTCGGAATGAGACGCACATGGGAAACAACTTTTAAAATTAAATCTCACTTCAGGCACCTCTTGAGAAGTCGCCAGGCTAAATAAAGTTTTAGGCGTTTTTCATAAATTTGTATGTAGAGTAGCAAGTTTAATCCACAGAGCCGACGCTTCACTCTCCATCTGTCTTCACCAACATTTACATTTTACTGGCTTATGATGGAAGTAAATCTTATGCTTAGGGATGCACAAAATGTTTTTTTTTCTTCAGATAACAGTCAATTATCTGCATCTCATGACTGATACTGATGAGATAACAGATACATTTAACAGGTTAATCTGTATTTTTTGCACACCTGAAGTTAGGAGACTAAAATGTAATTGAGTGAGATTGATGATGTAATATTTAGCAGCTGACTTAACCAAATCTAACTGACTCACTATTGTTAACACAACAAAAACAAACAAACAACATTTCAAATGTTCATTTATTGTTTCTAGTAAAGTACATTTAAAAACTTCCCAAACATACTTCGGCAATAAATCTCCCATTATTGGCGGATAGTTTATTGGTTCCAGATAATTAATTATTGTGCGTCCTATTGATGCACCAATTGGGGAAATTGTGGGTCGATCCCGATGTTTAAAAAACTATTTGGCTGATTCCATTACCGAGGTGCGTCAACAAGGCGAATACCGGCTGATAACGATGTTCAGCAGATATATCGGTGCATCCCTACTTATGCATGGCTGCTTCATAATATTAGGCATATTAGAGCTTATTTTATCAGTTTGACAAAAAGGATAATGTACATCTGTATACCCATGTAAAGCCAGTATTCGCTGACGGTGTGTGAGAAAAAGAAAAAAGGGCTGCATACCATTATTGTGGTCAGGGGCTTTAACACAGGCTGTGCGCAAGCTATTGAAGATTAAGGAAAGGAATTAAGTTGGGTGTGTGTTTGTTCTATCCTCTTCACGTTTGTCTATAATGCCCTTGTCATCATGAGAGTGGGGTTAATCAGATTACATTTTAGGTTGTAAAGCTGGAGCTGGCAATATAATGAACAATATGTCCTAGTGGGTTGATTATCAGCCATGTCATCACAAAAGCCTGCTGTTCACCAGCTGGAACTGCTCTTTATCCTCTCACATCCCACAAGTCTGACCTGAGACTTAATTCAAATTCTATTAGGCATTAAAATAAGGACAACATTGTACAGTAGGTATTTAAGTTAACTGCATGTGGATGTGTATTCTAGGTTGTCACTCACAAAGCTACTTTCTTCCCTTTCTGTAAAGCTCTTTTAAAAGGGTCGTTTGTGTTTATTTGATGTTGTCTATAAGTTCCCTTCAATGTCTGAAAGCCAAGTATTAATGTTTCAAAATTACTTCAAGAGCTTTTGTTTCTATGTTCGATGTTGCTCCATTGAGGATAATTTTCCCCACGTGGTTAACTGAGTCAAACCACCAACATAAAGATTGTGGATAAAGAATATTGACATTTTGCGTTAACTGATTTGTGAGCTAAATTATATTTTACACATTGTTTTTTTCTCTCTCTTCTCTTTCAGGAACCTATAAAGTCGAGGGCACCACAGCTCCATTTGGAGTATAGATTTTACAAACAGTTGGGAAATTCAGGTAAGAGACATGTAGTCTTGTAGGTTATTAGTCTCTGAAAGAAAGCACCATAATGATGAGTTAAATGTGAATGGATCCTTTCTCTTCTTTTTCAAGAGGAGAAAACTCTGCCTTTATAGTCAGAAACAGACATACACTCACATGTTTTCAGGTCGCTTTTTGTTTGTGATAATTATATTGCTTTCTGTAATAACTCAATGGTTTTGATGTGTTTTTATATATTTAGTTAAATTGGCTGGTGTTAAATCTAATGCAGAGTATTCAGAAGACAGGTCTGGTTGCAGTAGTCTCGTCTGGTTTAATGAGTGGGACAGACTCGACTTGTTGGTAATCAGGAATAATGGCATCATGGAAATGGATGCCTTTTAAGAGAACGAGTGAACAAATGGGAGAGTCAGAGGAGGACAAAGATTTAATCCCTGAAAATGTTGACACTCTGATATGGAGTTGGCTAAATATGTAGAATTTGAGTGTTTTGGGTTTTTTGTGGTAAATCTTTTTATGACCTGCCACTAGTATTTAGCTTGTGTGAGACAATTTTACATCAAGGATTATATACTTTATTGCAACAAATATGACTATTCCAGGAAAGAGGACGTTTTCAAATGTATCTGCTGCATTAGTGTGGACATGTAACATCAGGGAAACAGACACAGGAACACAACTCCACTTGAGGCTACATTTCACAGTGTGTGTGTGTGTTTATCTCCCCACATCTGTGGGAGCCAATAGATGCTATGAAAGCCTGCTTCCTCTTTTCTAATCCCACCTCTACAGCACAGAGAGTCTTTCCTCCTCTACAGCGCTGCCCTGAACATGTTAATGTGCTGTGATACATAGCTGTGGCTCCAGGGCAGCAGCTCTTTGATCTGGTCTGGCTGGTCAGCTAGTTACAGAGGGTGGGAGAGAAGGCAGAGTCATATGGTTGGGAGGGATCGGCGCTTGATATGTTTCACAGCGGTGCCCGGATGGCTGGCTCACCTGTCATGTTTGTGTATGTTTGTGTTAATTTGGCTGGCTCACAGCACAGCACTCAGAAACCATATGCAAAGATATCACCACCACTTAGTCAAACTGACAAGAGCAAAAGGTATAGACAAGAAGTCCGTGCACAGTCTCCTGTTCCTACTGCTTTTTGCACTTCAACCACCCACACCTGCACGTCCCATCTGTTCTTTTTTTTTTTTTGTCCGTTCTCCCCGTCAAGTCCTTTTTATAATTGCATAAATACAGGTACCAAGTCTCAGTTGACATTTTGTTACATAATTTAGCCCACAGTACCCTTACTTAGTCTACTGAAGGGCAACTACACCCTCAGATTCAGCTAGAACCCCTTCCTCCTTGCATATTTAAGAAATCCATCAGAGAAACAAGGGAGCAAAGACTGTAGGTGGTGTGGCCTTGTGGCTAAATAGTGTGCGACACAGAGGGGTAGTGGAGACTGAGCACTGCTCAGTGTAGCATGGACAGTGTCTGGTGGTGGATTGACAGTCAGTAGGAGCACGTTTATGGCGCTTTTTGAGGGCGTTTATGTGTGGGCAGTGGTGTTGTAGCTTGGCTTGTGGCTCTACAATGAGAGGTGTTTTTGGATCATCAGTGTGACAGTTCTGATGATCAATAAAGATTTGAAAACTCATATATGTCTTGTGGGTATGCATGTGTGTTTGTCATTCTAAGACTATTACAAGTGTGTGTGTGTGTGTGTGTGTGTGTGTGTGTGTGTGTGTGTGTGTGTGTGTGTGTGTGTGTGTGTGTGTGTGTGTGTGTGTGTGTGTGTGTGTGTGTGTGTGTGTGTGTGTCGTGGTCTAATTTAGTGACACGTGCCAGCTTCCTGGCTCCTTGTGCCAGAGCAAAAGCCCTCCACTGTTGATAAGGAGGTGGGGCATTAGGGCAGTCCTTGACTATTTATAGAAGGCCCTCTACAAGCAGTCAGCCTTTATGATGTGTCTACTTGGATAGCTTCCTTAGCCACAGTATCCTTTGCCTCCCTGATTGACTGTGTGCTGCCTGCAGATTGCAGGGAAACTCTCTGACATGCAACGCTAACAGGGTGTGGCCTGTTTTTCTTTATGGCTGTTCTCATTTTAATCTATCGTTCTGATTTGTGAGCCAATCTTACACAATGCATGACTGCACACACAAACTCAATACTAACTGTCATTGTCATCTCCTATGCCAGGTCCCCTGATCATAGCAGAGGATTCCTCTGGCCCAGGCTTGTCTTTCTGTGCCTTTGGTTGTTTCCTCTGGTGCATTAAACACATCATGACCATCCCCTCTTCCATTGAGACCACTGCTGACCTTCAACCTCACTCTTATTGACTGAGGCCTGGGGTTGGGCAACATGTAAAAATGTTCTTAATCTTTACACACAACTAGAGACAGGTGATATGCACAGGTAGAACAAGCTGATGTGATGCTATTAAAGTGAAATGCTTATCTTTCAAAAACAGAAACTTGGACAGATACAGTATATTGTGTTACGTTGGTCTGTGATGAGCCCCATTTATTTAGTCTGAAACAGCTGGTGAGATATTGCTGCTTTCAACAGGTGGTGTGAGTCACATAATGTTGCCAAAGTGTGACTGGCAGGCAATGAGTAGGTGGAAATTAAGGACATAATTAATGATGAATGTTAAATTCCCTCCCCCTTTCCTTTCACTATTCACATGATGCTTTGAACAGGAGTCAGACTATTAAGTTGCCTGGACAATAATCGACTGACAATAGATTCAGCTTAATGCTCGATTGTAATATCTATCCTGTGTTAAGGTGTGGCTGAACCGAGAGATGTTACTGATAAACGGTTAACCACCAAGAATATTTTTGGTACGCATGTCGATCTGTATGTTAAGTTGCATACACAATCCACTAATGGCTTCCCCAGCTAGCAGTCTGCAGGAAATGATGCCACGCTCAACGAACTTCAGTGAGGGACAATTTCACACTGCTACTCTACAGTTTAGTCGAAGTACTAGCACTATACTGTACCACATTAAGAACAAGCCCCTGGGTGCTATGTCCAGGGATGTCTCGCAGCCAAAGATCACGTCACTGTTAGCTCGGGGGGAGACAGTGTGATGTGCGCCGGTCTTATACGCTGCCAATCAGTGTCGTAGAGGGTGAGGGATTCAAATGGCTAACATTAGTTCGGTAATGGGTGTCGGGTTATCGAAAGCAAAATTAACTGAAGCTGACATCCCTAGCTGGGCCACTTGCAGTAGTTTAACTATCATCTAAAAATGGAGCAACAGTATTACCACACAGAGAGGTCCTGTCTCCAACTGGTGACTGGCTCCTCCATGATGATGTGACAGGAAGGCTCACTTGACTGTGTAGCATGGGAGGAGTCAAGGCGGTAGATTAAATCTACTTATGTTGTCAACTTGGCTAAATGGGCACACGTGACCTAGACAACCCTAGAGCCTCAAATATGTCACGGTGTGAACTGCTCAGCGCTTAACGCACAGGAGGAGCTTATCTGTACCCTGTTAATTCTCTCTTGTCCTGAACAGATCCCAGCTGTAGGGAATCCTGCCTCCCAGCAACTGACAATAGACCTGGAATTGCAGTGGCTCTTGGTAGTAAAAGCAGTACTGCTAATTGTCCTGTAGTTATTACAATTTGCTGGTGATAGTAAAGTCTTGTACTTTTCAAATATTAGAGTTTGTTGCTTCTTCTTGAGCCACTTTACAACTGTAGCCAGGGGAATGGCTTCAGAGATGTTGGATCCATGATTGTATGATTGTGATTAGTGTCATACATAAGGAGTTTTCCTCTTGTATATTAATAAAGTGACGGGTATCTGCATGCTTGTGAATATTCATGAGCTCCATCAAGGCTTTTGATAGCATGTGTGCCGTGTCAGTGACATAGGGTCCATGTTGATCACATTATTTCATGCAAATCACGAACTCTTATCTATGCCATGTGGATTATTTTATTTAATGTTTATGTGTTTACTGCTGTTGTCAGGTCAGATTTGATAAGATTATTTTAATAACTCTGGGATAAAATCTGGTGTCATCAGAAGCTACACCATAGAGATAAATGCACCATAGCAACAGATAACATGAACTGAAGCAGTTCATTAAAATATTTTGTAATGGCATTTACTTGTTTAAAGGTCCAGTGTGTAACATTTAGTAGGAAGTATTACTAGAAATGGAATATAATATAATTTTTTGTTATGTTGAATTAACTCTTTTTGTCTACAGAGGGAGCGGGTCGTCTTGAAAAGGGCCTCAGCTCTGACAGACCAAAAATGTACATTGTTTTTTCGCAAGTTATGCAGCCACCGTACTCTCTCCTTTGCGCTTGATTGAGTCAGAGGGTTTCATTTGTACACACTGGTGCTTCAGTTAAATATTTTGCCATGATTTATTAAAGTAGCACACTGTAAATTGCCACAGTTTACAATGGCAAGATACTACAATCTTTGAAATAACTTAATTTAGCCTACCTGTTATTACTAGTTTTGCATGCAGTGAATGAAGAGAAAGCTGTGTTGAGTTGAAAGAACAGAGAAACAGAGGAAATGGAACAACTGCCCTAGTTTTTCTAAAATCAGTCACGTCACTGCTTGAGTGAACACTTGTGAAGCTGCAGAGGTTAAAAGCTGCAAATATCTGGTAGAATCAATTATTAACTTTAATAAAAACAAGGATTGATGTTTTATTCCCCCCCCCCACTAGTGTTCAGCCCTGTGGTGTCTTGTGGGATTGTTGCTATGTTGCCTTTTGTAGCTCCAGGCTCTGTCTGTGCGAGCACAAGTGCTGATCACATTTTAGCCTTGTGAGAACATCTCCAGAGCGCTGGGTCTAATGGAAGTCACTTCTCCTCCTCCTTCTCCTCTTCCTCTCTCAGTGCTCTCCACTCCATAATCTCAATCTTTAATATGCATTCCCTGTCCTCTCCTCCTCTCTGGCCATCTCCTCTCTCCCCTTTTTGGTCCTTAACTCTGACATTTCATTCTAGGGCAACACTGTCTCCAGCTGCCATGATGCAGCCATCCCTATTACTGTGAGTGCCTGCAGATACAATTGGTTGGATTCTCTCAAATTGTCAAAACAGCGGGGGTCAGAGCACTGCTGTGATTGGCTTGAAGTGAAAGCCAGAGCATGTCCCATAATGCTGAACACAGTTTTTTTTTTTTATGACTTCATATATTGGTTGGAATTACAAACATTTATCGTCGCAGGAGTGATTCAGTTTGATGTCATTGAACAGCTGAAATGGTTTGTTTGGCCTTCAGCTTTTGAGGAGAATAAAAGTGTTGTCGGATCAAGATGATGATTCGCAGTCATGCTTCATCATTCTTTTGCTCTTGAAGTGCTCACTCTTTGCTGTTACAGAGAAAATGTGCTGCATTGGAGAGTCATTTTGCTGTGTGTTTTGTTGTTATAGTTGACTTACCGTCAATCATAACAGTACACATCTGATATAGTCTCACCCCAAAAGTGTGCTCTGGGCTTTTACCAGCAGCCATTTCTAGATTGGTGCTTACTGCTGTTCTGAGCACCAATCTTTGCTCACATCCACCAGCAGCAGATTATAATACACTGTGTGCTTTCCTCTTCGGATGACTGTGCTTTGAATGCCCTCTAGATTTGGGCCAAGCTCTGGATTGATGTTGAGGAGTGGTCAGGTAAATCTGACTGTAAACTCTCCACCCCACACACACACACACACACACACACACACACACACACACACACACACACACACACACACACACACACACACACACACACACACACACAATCCAAACTTAATACTTGTGCACACAGTGCCGTGCCCAATCTCAACCGTCATTCATCTCTATCACCCATTAATTTTCTATTACAAACAAGTACAGTACAAATGTGCTTTCCCATTCTCTCAATCTCTGTCCCGTTTTTAATCTGTATCTTAATCTCACTGACTCTTTTTATCTGTCTGTGTCACTGTCTTTCTCTCTCAGTGCTGCTGTGCCTGCTGTTGTAGCAGCACTGATGTGGTATCTCATGGTTAGTGAGCTTTCAGGGAGATGGCTGATGTGTAGATATTAGGCCTTTGGCACAGATGGTTTAGAGTTTCATGGATGGCTACCAGGTGGCAGAACCAATTTGACGAGGTCTAACCTGGTAGAGAAGACAGGGAACCTGAAGACTGGTGGCTTTGATCATGAAAGAAGGCTACAAATTTTCCCTCGGGGGATCAGAAGTCAATGGATGCTCATGTAAAAATGCGTCCAGTCATAAAATGCCTCTGTAATTTAACTGAGGGAGGGCTGACAAAAACACCAGATACATGAGTCAGGTTTTTATGTCTACATAGTGTTACTTATCTCTTTCCCAGTGAGCTGTTGCATGTTTTTCTAGACTGAAATATGATGCTGGTTCCTCTGCGGGCCTCAGCAGTTCATTTTGTTGTGACAAAGCAGTTAAGTCTGTAGCCAGCAAATGTGAGGAAGCAGCAGCTTTACGTCACTGTGGGGATGCTTGTTTTTGTGTTCTTTATCTGCGGTACCAGATTGTTAAGAAATTGAAATTTGCCCTCATATAAGTAGGATTTATTCATTTTTTTTATTTTATTTTAATACTTTACTGTGATTCTTTGTATGTGCCTCACACGCCCATGTTGCATGACTGTCGAAACACTGATAAACATAAAGATAGTCCTGCCGGGTTGATCCATCCGCATTCTTCACAAGTCTTACACATTACCACAGAATGGGTGTGGTCGCTTCTTGTAGCAAAGGCTATTTACAGTTGCTGTCAGTGTGCTGCTCACCGTCACTGGTGTTTCTTTTAGACACCTTTCCCTTTAATCCTACTTCAGGGGAGAAGAAACTGCGAGCCAAGCCTGTTTCTGACAAACCTGTTGAGGGAAGAGAACTGAAGTGTAGTTCGTCACTGCTGTGTAGTGTCAGTGATTAATCTTCTCCCACACTTGAAAAATAAAAAGACAAATGTTATTCTGTCAGACATAACAACAATGTATTGTTTTGATTTAATTAACAGGGCCAATATTTTTACAAAAATCCACTAACTTTATTTGTGTGTGTGTGTGTGTGTGTGTGTGTGTGTGTGTGTGTGTGTGTGTGTGTGTGTGTGTGTGTGTGTGTGTGTGTGTGTGTGTGTGTGTGTGTGTGTGTGTGTGTGTGTGTGTGTGTGTCTGTGTGTGTGTGTGTGTGTGTGTGTGTGTGTGTCTGTGTGTGTCTGTGTGTCTGTGTGTGTCTGTGTGTGTTCACAGAGGGAATCCCTCAGGTGTACTACTTTGGTCCTTGTGGGAAATACAATGCCATGGTGCTGGAGCTGCTCGGGCCCAGTCTAGAGGACCTGTTTGACCTCTGTGATCGCACCTTCTCCCTCAAGACCGTCCTCATGATAGCCATACAGCTGGTAAGGCCTGAAAGAGGAGAGCAGCAGGAGGCATATATTTAGATATGCTTGCTTTTGTGATTGCAAGCTCTACAGAAATTATAGAGCTGCTTTGAATGCATTTCTTTGTAGTAGAGGGTAGGTAGTAAGTAAGGTGTTGTATGCAAAGCAAGGTAAAAAACAAAGGTTTGTGGGTTTTGGTGAAGGAAAAAAGAAATAAAATCTATGTTTATATGCTCCCCACAGCCTAAAAACAATCATTATTTTACAGCCTTGTGTGAAATACCTTGGTTTCCAGTGAAGCTAGACGAAAGTAGTAATGTCAGGAGCACTTTGGTAACCTCAGTGTCACAGGTTCAGTTCCAGCCGGGGACCTTTGTTGCATATCATTCCCCCCTTAGCTTCCAAACTGTCCGATAAAGGCAAAAATGCCCACAATAATAATAATAATAATAATAATAAATAATAATAATACTAATGTATAAATAATAATCTTAAACGTAGGGATGTAATCAGAATTGAATGTGTAATCTTAGTTTATAGTCTTCTTGTCATCAGAATATTTTGTATCTTGATGTTTGAAAACTGCCCAGATTGATGAGCAATTTAAAGTTTGAAATGCTAATCTTGATCTGTTTTGCTGCGCTTGTAGATAACACGGATGGAGTACGTCCACACCAAGAGTCTGATATACAGAGATGTGAAGCCAGAAAACTTCCTGGTTGGGCGGCCAGGAAGCAAGAGGCAGCATACCATCCACATCATTGACTTTGGTCTGGCCAAAGAGTACATAGACCCTGAGACCAAAAAACACATCCCCTACCGGGAGCACAAGAGTCTGACTGGGACGGCACGCTACATGAGCATTAACACACACTTGGGAAAGGGTAAGGAAGTCTTAGGAACACGGCTTTCGTTTGATCGTCCCTTTGAATTAGCATAGGCAAGCTTAGCTCACATTTACATTCAGTTTAATGGAGATGTTCTAACTGTATTTGTACAAATACATCAGCTACATTTACACAGCACTGTAAACAAATACTGTTGATTTTACATTTACATTTAACCATTGGAAACCATACCTATGGTGTTTCTTGAGTTCAGCTGTGTGACTTCAAGGCTTCTGTGTACATTTTTCTCTCTTTCATAAATTATTACTCTTATATATAGCTGCATTTCTTTGATATTTTGAAACATCTCCTCTTTATTCTGTTGTTTTTCCTCTATGGGAGGGGGTGGCCAACCATGTGCCATGCAGACTCAACACTCTGCATGTTTTCAGTCCAACCAGTCACCTCAGGAGGTGATTTCACTGATTAGTTCTTCCCCCCCTACGTGTCGTGCTAATCAGTGGGTGGAGTGTTTGGCTGGAATAAAAACCTGCAGACTGCCTCCTCTCCATGGCACAGGATTGCCCCCCCCTCTATGGCTTAATCATGGCCCTTTTATACTGTACATGGTTAATTATAACTCCTGGATAATTGTGCTGTGCTGTATTTCCTGCTACCCAGTTGCTGGTCAACCTTGGCACCTGCTTATGAAATGAATTTGTTTCTCACAGTTAACCTAATTTCATCTTATTTTGTCTATTCCAGAGCAAAGCAGAAGGGATGATTTGGAGGCGCTGGGTCACATGTTTATGTACTTCCTCAGAGGTAGCCTCCCCTGGCAGGGCCTAAAGGTACTGTAGCGTATTGTTTGGGGTCATCCAAATACATCAGATTTACATCAGATTCCCGCCATGCTTAGTATAGAAGTGTACCTTTTCCTGCTGCACTCCTCCGTATAGTAACTCTTTCATACCTTTCAACCACATGATCTTAGGTACTGAGAGTTAGGTGTTTACAACAGCATCCTCTCACACTGTACCTTACATTATTTGTTGAACCTGAAAGACAAAGAAGCTCCCGCTGTGTCACTCACAGAAGCTAGTGAGACCTCTTTGTTGTTTAATTTGCTGTTGCTTAATACAAAGTTGATATTACCTGTGGTGATAATTCACAGACAGGAATGAGGTGCTCAAGTCTAAATGACAGGGCAAAGTCTGTTAGTCCACGTTCAGACTGTAGGCCAAAGTGAGCCAAATCTGATTTATTTGCTCATGTGACTCAGATCTGAGGTTTTATGACACTGTCAGACATGACCAGTTCACACTGAATCTGGTATCAGATGAGAATTGAGCGCTAAGGCTTGCAGTGTAAACGTAGCCTTTTTTCTTTATTGGGACTCCTTGGAGTCCTTCATTGTTTTCTGTGGTCAAAAAGAGATTTTCAAAACTTTTTATTTTGCTTATGTACTGATTGGTGAGTGGTGAGAACAGCAGCTGCCCCCCAGTCACCCAAACACACATCTTAATCACCCAAAGTTCAAGAAAAGTGAATAGTGGTAGATGACATGCTAAACAATGTTAACAACATTATTCCAGCAGAGATATGCCTCAACTAACAACCTGTCAGCCAGTCAGAATGAAGAATTCTCAGTGGCCACATTATAGTGATAGCTAATCTTATCTTCCTTATTATAAAGTAATTTGCCATCAAACTTGTGTTGATGTTTTCCTGACTCTACTCAGCATAGGTCCTCATAATAAAATCTATTCAGTCAGTGACTGGAAAAAGACTGTCCTGGTAGATGTGTGCCCTACCTTGTATTTGCATATGTTGCTATATAAACAATCACTTGCAACAACACATTTGCTTTGCATTTGAACAGTTTACTGAGAAACAGCTTAAAGCATTAAGAAACACAGGCATGTTGACAGGTGCCAGGAGGACAGGTTATAGCTGCACAGAGCTGCTGGACGTTTTGCAGGCGTCAATATCAAAGGTGTACATAGAATAGACTATGAAACACTTCATCTGAACATTTGCTATGTGGGAGGAAGCTTGTGGTAGATGAATGTGAGGGATGTATGAATGTGGGGGATGTCGGGTGGCTCAGGCCAAAACAAGTTCTCACCAACACACAACATGACAGTCGGCATCAAAATGCATTGAAGGAGCATAGTGACCAAATATGGAACTCACAATGAAGTTGCACTCACATCTTTATGGAGTGTAATTCTTGGTTGGTGAAGAGCAGCAGGTGAAGAATTATCCTCACTAGACAACAGATCAGTGGAAGATGTTTTTCTGGCCCGATCACGGTTGGTTGTCGACAAAGGTAGATTGAGGGTGTTGTCTGAACGACACCTAAACAATAAGAGAACCTATCATGCATAGTTGAAAGGCCGGTGGGTGTAATGCAGCCATTTTGGATGCATTCAACGGGTATAAAATTTCACACTGTGATGCCAAAGTATATCATAATAACATAGCAGAGAAGAATGATTCGTCCCCAAGGAGACTTTCTGCCCTGTGTCTAACAACATCTTTGAGCTTGTGGCAAAAGTGGTCTAGAATTGGGATAAACACAAGCCCTCAGTGCTGTACATATCTGTGAAATGACTAAAGAATTCAGAATGACTAACCAGAGTATTTGCTCAAGTGCAGAATATATACCACATTTTAATATTACACCTATTTGCTTACACTGCTGGCAGCTGTGTATTTGCTCAAATTCTGAGTGTAATATGTGGGTTTTGTTTTTTTGTATCTCCCTTCTAGGCGGACACTCTGAAAGAGAGGTATCAGAAAATCGGGGACACCAAACGAGCGACACCCATTGAAGTGCTTTGTGAAAGCTTCCCTGGTCAGTAGAACCAACCAGTTCCCTTTGTTTGCTGCGTCGTTTCATTTCTTCCTCATTCAGCCAGATTTGAAACCTAACGAAATCTTCTCTTTTGTTACAGAAGAGATGGCCACCTACCTGCGCTATGTGAGGAGGCTGGACTTCTTTGAGAAGCCTGATTATGACTACTTGAGGAAGCTCTTCACCGATCTGTTCGACAGGAACGGCTATGTCTTTGACTATGAATACGACTGGGTCGGCAAATCACTTGTGAGTGCCTCTTACTGAATCCACTCATCCTCCCCCTCCTTTCTCTCTGAAATCCTTTGATTTGACCATCGAGCTGCAGTTGTTTTATTGCTCTCACTTTAATAATTTCTCACTAGATCATAACCAATTATCTCTGCAAACGTATCTACATTGTGGGTGCTAAATATTTTTACCTCTAACTAAATTCAACCCAATGGTTTTTACTCTTCATTTTTATTTCCCTTAAATTGTCTCAATTTTGACACTGTTTCCTTGTGTTTCCCGCAGCCCACACCAATAGGCCCTATCCCCAGTGACACGCCCCTGCAGCCCAGAGAAAGCCGAGACAAAGCACAACAGCAGACCAAAAACCAGGTGAGATCATGAGCATTAAAACACAACAAACCGCACACCCACTGTCCACTCTCTACCTGCCAACTGACCGAGCAACCAGCCGACCAGCAGACCCTGTCATTCAAGTTCTTCTGCCAGATCACCGTCGTTGTGTCCAACTCTAATCAACTTCCTGGAGAAAATGGCTGCCGTTCAGCTCCCCTTCTCGTTCACTCCAGTTCCTATCTGACGGCTGAGTGACGACATCGTTCCCTCAATTGTTTGTCAGACGTAAAAGTACAAAATTGATGCCTTTTTAGTAAATTAACCGACATGCACAATCATGAGGCAGGCTCTCCTGCTCCAGTTGTGGAAAAAAAAAAGCACTGTTTTCGGCTTTCAATTTATTCTTCACACCTTGCCAGTCTAAGCTACAGTCATTGCATGCATGAGTTGAAAATGCAAATTGCATTGTTCATACCAGTAATGACAAGTTATATGCTTAGTGTGTGACAAAGTGTGGACTGGATTTTTTTATTTTTTATTTTTTTAATTCCTTTTATTGGCATGCTATCCGAGCCTTGTTTTGTTTCTCTGGTTTAGTAGAGGGGTAATAAAAATAATAATTTTAGTAGAAGATGACCATGAAATCTTTCTGATAGACACAAATCATGGTACATATCACGTTGTTGAGTCTGACTCATTGTTTCCTGTAAAGCCATACAGGGAGCGCATTAGATTTTATGATTGACTTATTACAATGGACTCTAGCCTCTTTTTACTGCTCTACTTTTAACATGATTGGCTCAATAACAACTTGCCACCCTTTGAAGCTCGCAAAGCACCACCATGCATGATGCCCCACGACTGTAAAAAAACCTGTAACATCCTGGTTAAAACAGTCAGCCGCAATAAAAGAAAAACATCTGCTATCTGTCTCTGCAGTTACAGGTTGTATTTCTTGGTGGGAAGCTAAAAAATACATTTGTTAGGTCTGCAAATGAAAGCACAATGTTTTTAAAAAAACCTTGATACTTGAGCGTCTAGTTGAAATTTAAATAATGCTGTATTGAAGTGATAGGTGAGGTAATCAAGGCTGTTTTCTTTTACTCCTGCATGACTTTTATTAGTGTGTTGATCTGTGCTTCGCATAAATTTTTGCTTCCCTCTACTCCTCTATTAACATAGTTTGTCTTAACAAGCCTGCTTCTGCTTGGGAGATGTCTTCTATAATTTTTTTGTTTTTGTTTTTGTTTTGTTTTTTTCATTCACTCCCCCTCCTCCTTGTCCCTTCCCCCCACACACACACTTCTACCCTCACCCCCTCCCACCACATTGCCTCACCCTCATCCCCCAACCCCTGAACCCCACAACCTTCTTTCCCCCCACCCCCCCTTCCTCCTCCTTCTCACCACTTCACAACCACCTGCCTCAACCCTTTTTGCTCTTTGCGTCAAGTCGCCTGAGCCCAAAGGAAGTGAGTCTCAGCCCACTCCAGTGACCAATAAGGAGACTCTGGGGTCGCACCTCACAGCTGAGCGGCTGGGGGGCTCTGTTCAGGTACTGCTGCTGCTGCTACTGCTGCTGCTCTGATGGCTAATGCATGAAGCCATGTAGTTTTGTATGTGTCTGATCCCCCCCCCACACTGACTCCACTACCTGCCTGTCAGGTGCTCCGTCTTCAATCTGTGTGTGTGTGTGTGTGTGTGTGTGTGTGTGTGTGTGTGTGTGTGTGTGTGTGTGTGGGTGTGTGGGGTGTGTGTGTGTGTGTGTGTGTGTGTGTGTGTGTGTGTGTGTGTGTGTGTGTGTGTGTGTGTGTGTGTGTGTGTGTGGGTGGGTGTGTGGGTGGGTGTCTTGGTGTCTGGGTGTCTGCATCAGACTGTGTGACTCCCTGTGTGTCAGTGCTTTGCCTGTTCTGTTAGCTCTCAGTGCTTCATTCGCCTCATCTGCTATAGGCAGCCCACAGGAAGGGCCATGCAAAGATGACATCCAACAGCAACTGTCATGCAAACCCCATGAAATAAAGACTCTCACATCATTAGAGAAACACATGAAGCAATACATACAAGCAGCACATTAGATTTTTGTCATTAATAAAAATATGGTAAAGCAATCAAAACTAAGTTAAAATCTTATTGCTGTTTTCCATATATTCATTAGGTCTCCATAGTAAATGTGGCACAAATATGCCACCTAGTGTTGGTTAAAAGAACTGCAACATTTTTCAACTCTTGCCCATGTGTACGTCGAAATGGGTTTGTTTATTTAGCTGTTATCGTTCTTCATGCTCTAATTCGCTTCCAGTAGAAGAACTGGGAGGACAAAATGTATAGTGTTCAGTCTGTGCAAACATATATTCCAAAGTTTATCTGAAGCTACCTTAAGTCAGTGTTTTCAGTATGAAAGTCTCACTTTGTTTCCACAGACACTGTTTCCGTGCTGAGGTGCTGTGGAAGGATGCAACACAAATGGCAGAATTTTGTGCTAAAACTAATTAAACTTTGACACATCAAGAGATTATCTTTCAAACTGCTGAAACCTCATTCTAGCTTGAGTCGAACTTTTGATCAGAATATTTGCACAGATCAAGGACATTGATAGCGCATTAGTAAAGGACCTTAATAGACAGCACAAAGACGAGGACCGATTAAAGGAAGCAAAACCTGTTTCAACGTCCAAATGGACACCTGACTTTTGTTTCAAGACAGAAATAAAAAACATGTGAACTTATCCTTTTTAAAGGGGCATTCCAGGTTACATGCTGAACTGCTCTCCTTTTCTGAGAGGGCAGATAAAGGGAGATAATCAAGGTTACATATTTTTATGTGAATGTTCATCTCCACCCTGCAATCATTGGCTCGATGTGTATGTGTGTGTGAGCAGTCTGGTGTCCTTTTTTTTTTTTTGTACACGTGCAGGTGATGAGCTCAACGAATGGCGAGCTAAACACTGATGATCCCACAGCCGGAGGCTCCAACGCTCCCATCACCGCTCCCACCGAGGTTGAAGTGGCCGACGAAACCAAGTACGAAACAGCTGTCCAGATGCATAGAAGACGGTGCTACTTGCAGTAGGGTTGGGGTTCAATAGCATTTTATTGAGTCCAAATCCAAATCTGAAACCTTTTGCACTCCTTACTGAATGTCTTAAGGTTTTATAATTTGCTTGAACAACTCAGCTGATCTTAATCAGTATGTTTACATACCTTCAAGAAACCAGGTTTTCCGTGAGACCAGGTTATGCAGGTGATCAGAGAATACCTTTACATGCACATTTTACAGACAGTAGTTCTCTGTTTTACCACAAAGTAGCCACTCATGGTCTAAATAGATTGGTCTCTATCTTATAATAATGTTACAGACTTCGACCTGTTGCCCCCTTTTTGCTGCTTTATCAAACCAGATCCAAAACTGAACCAGCTATTGAAACCCAACTCGACCAGGCGGCACGTCAAGCGCCGCATTGCTCTACCAATATCTAATTGGTATAGATGTGTGTCTCCAAAATGTCCTCTACCCCAAAACTGAAGTGTTCCTCTGTTCTCCTGCAGGTGCTGTTGTTTCTTCAAGAGGAGAAAGAGGAAAGCCCTCCAGAGGCACAAGTGAAAGAAGAGAACGGAGAGAACTTGAAAACATTGTGGTCACTGTCAAGTTTTAAATGGAAGCAACTACACAGACCCCCTGTCCCTTATCTCTCTCCAGCTTCCCCCCCCCACCTCACCTCTTTATCCCTCTCAACTTATTTCCCCTGTCACTCTGTACCTCCACCCTCACCCCCCCCCCAAACCCCCCTCTCTTTCTCGTTCTCAGCGCTCCCCGGCTACTGGCGAGCTAAAGGAATGTTGCAGTCCTACTGACTCCACAACAGACTCTTGATTCCTTCTACGAAAAATAAAACGTTACCTGCATTACAACGTGGGGAGGGGGAGGGGGCTTGAGAAAAAGTAAAAAAAAGCTGTAACAATGAAACTCGAATACCGTGGCGTGAATATGAAAAAATACTGTTTGAAACAGTTGTTGTATTCTAGATTCCATAAAGAACGAATATTGTTCCAACAGTCATCTGTTGATCAGGGGGAACCGTTCGAGTGAAAGAAATCTGCTCATTAGGAAATTGTTTTTTTTTTTTCTTCTTTCTTTTCATTCTTTTTTTTTGGTGTGTGTTATGGGATCAAGGTAAAGAGGAAAAAAGGTGAACTATGCTGATGTTAAATCTGAGAGACACAGGAAGCATTTCATCTATAAAACAGAATTTGGATGGAGGATTTTTATGTTTTTTTTTTTTTTTTTGTAATTGAATCCTCAGTTTTTGAAGTCAAATCCCTGCATTGAAAACTTATTTTTATGTTGTAGTGTTCTGGAGTTCAATTCTTTTCCTCACTCTGGCTTTCTTTTTCTTTTTTTTTTTTTTTTTTGTCTGTCAACGTGGACTTTGTAGCACAGTCACTGGCCTCAGGTACTGTGGAAGATTGAGAGAAACAGATATTAAGCTCTCTTATTATTATTGCACTTTTGGAAAAAAATAAAACAATTACAGTGGAAAACTTTTAGGTTTGAAATTAACAATTAAGAAAAAACAACTTAATAAAGACTGATCTAGGAAGAGTCCTTCACAACGCTTATATCTGAGTTATGGCCGAACAATGTTGTCGATTTACATGAAAAAAAAAAAGATATGTCTTTCGATTTTTATTTCTTACATCAAAATAATTTACCAGGAAATCATAGTTTGTGCCTTTCTAAGTAAAATGTTTAAAGCTCAAGTGGGTGTCCCGCAATGACATTTTATCTAATCTGTCCCAAATGCTCACTGGATTACTGTGTCTGTGTGTGTGTGTGTGTGTCTGTGTGTCTGTGTGTCTGTGTGTGTGTGTGTGTGTGTGTGTGTGTGTCTGTGTGTGTGTGTCAGTGCGCTTGCAAATGTGGAGGTTTTTGTAAGTGACTGTGTTTGACTGTGTGCACATCCCTTGCTTTCACTTATGAGCAGTATACATCCATTTCCTTCATCCTCTGCTGTGACAATCAACACATCTGTACAGTGGTGTTGTTTGGTTTGAAGGGGGGGTCAGGACGTGTGTGTGTGTGAGAGAGAGAGAGAGAGAGAGTGTGTGTGTGTGCTTGGTGCCAGCACAAAGAGATCTAACAGACAACCCAAATCTGTCTGAACCATTGTTTCATTTTGTCAGGAGGTCACAGACAGACATGCAGCTCAATGAGGTTTACTTGTTTATGAGGTACATCATGTCTCTGAAATGAATGGGCTGCTGTGTCTGAGCCTGGAAAAAGAAAGAAAAGGAACCTTTCCCAAATTCAAAGTGTACTGGATCAGGAAAAAAAAGAAAAGAAAAACAAATGCTATTTTTTAAGTTCCTTGCTGCTGCTAACAACTGTAGTTTCATGTCGGGCTGCAGCTAATGATTATTTTCATTATCGATTAAAATGCTTACTATTTTCTTGATTATTTGATCAGTCATTTGGTCCAGAAAACATCAGAAAACTGTGTCCGTCATATGATCCCAGCTCACGCGTGGATGTCATCTTATGTCTTGTTTTGTCTGACGGTCAAAAACACCCAAATATTCAATCTGTTGTCATGTAAGACCCCCCAAAAAAAGGTGAATTAACTTCTTTGAAAACCATCAAATATGGGCATTTGTGCTTAAAGGATGATTTGAATGATCAATCGATCAGGATAGTTGCTGATCAGTTTTCTTTTACTCCGTTAATTAATCGTTGCAGCTCTAGTTTCATGTATCTCCTGGATCGTTTATTTTACGTGTGTTCTTTTTGTTTCTCCTGGACAAAATAAGATGTATATGTCTGCCTCGATGCTTTTGTCTGTGATCAGGATTGTTTGAATCTCCCCCGAAAGTTTAATGGCCTTGAGTTATTTAAAGGAGCACTGCAGCGATTTTAATATTGAGCTGAAGTTGGAGGACTCACAAAAGACAGGTTTAAAGGTCCAGTGTGTAACATTTAGGAGGATCTATTGGCAGAAATAAAATATAATATTCATTAGTTTATATTCCCCTGAATATAGGAATCATTAGGTTTTTGTTACCTTAAAATGAGACGTTTTTATCTACAGATGCCGCGGGTCGCCTTCCATGGAGTCCACCATGTTCCTACAGTAGCCCAGAACGGACAAACCAAACACTGGCTGTAGGGCCTTTTTGCATTTTTGTGAGTTTTGCAGTTCTCAGCCCATTCTCATTCCCCCGGTCGTCAAACAACAGATGCGAGAGGTGTTCAGTTAGTTGCCCCTTCACTTTAAGATGCCAACTAAATCCTACACACTGGTCTTTTTTTAAAATGTATTATTACAAAAGACTCAAAATCAAAGACATCCTGACTCCTATCGATCAAACTCCAAAAGCACTGGATCCTACATTTCCCATAATGCAACTGGATAGTGTCTTTTCATCGTGTTTCCTGCCTCTTAAACCCCACAATGCCCAGTGTATAAGGCTGGCTTTCGGTTAAAAGTTTGAAATCACAAGCCCAGGCTGAGATTACCCCCCCCATTGTGCTCCAGATGCAGGGTGAAATCAGAGAGTCAGTGGAAGAGACCCTTTAAAAGACCCACTTGAGCCTCATATTTGTGATTCATTGGGAGTTAGATTGCAGAGGACCGACCGGCCTGTCACCACTGTGTGATGTGTGAGTGCTGACCATGACCGCCACAACATTACGTGTATGTGTCATTGAGGCGGTGAAGGAAGAAGTCTAGGTTGTTTTTGTTTTTCTCCACTTTTCATAAAACAGATCTACGATGGAAAGGAACTCAGAAAATATATGAAGTCTTTACACATCCGACGTTTTGTTTGCACAATGATCTAGTTATTATTTTATTTTTTAATGAAATTGATAGTGTCTACAACCTACTTGATTTTAAGTTATGAAGGAGAGATGAATGTTTTTTTTTTTCTTTCTGTGTGTGTGTGTGTGAACATGATTTAGGACTGAAGTGGGTTCTGTGCTTGAGTCACTCGCCATGTGAAGAACAGAATGAGGAACTAACTATTTGTTAATAGTATTGTAAACTCACGAGTTTTCATAAAAGCACTCATAACCACTTTGCTCTAATTTAAGCCACACCGGAGGCGTGTACATTGCAGAGCTGTAGAATAACTTTAAAGACAAAAAAATAAAAACCCAATCCCTCTCCAGATGTTCCGAGGATGTCACCGAGGGCACCAGCGCGCCTTTTTACGCGTGAAGGTCATCCATCGGTGTCCCTCAAGTGCCGCTGATTGATCAGAAAAGCTTTTTTTTTTTTTTTTGGCGCATTAAATTATTCCGCTGGAAGCTAAACTGGTTCAGCTGACCAACGTGGGGACCCGGCTTGGCATAATCCACTACATTGCCAAGGTTGAACTGTGTTTTTTTTTTTTTTTTTTTTTTGCTCTGTTAGTGTAACTACTTGCATTATGTATTTGTAAATATGACAACGACAGATCTCTAATTGTGAATAAAGGAAATTTTATCACAGGAGTCAAATCAATTATGGAGCAGTTTGTGCCTGGGGGTCGGTCTTTACCTGTCTACAGGCGGATATGTTTCGCGGCGGGACACTTTCTGAACGACCTGTGCGCCTCTATGTGGTTCACCTATCTGCTGGTCTACCTGCACTCAGTGCTCGGCTTCCAGAGCACCTATGCAGGTGCGCTGCTGCTGATTGGACAGATAGCGGACGGAGTGTGTACGCCTCTGATTGGGTATGAATCCGACAGGATGCCGGGCAAGAGGAAAAACTGGCATCTACTGGGTAAGTGTGTGTGTGTGGCGCGCAGCAAATATAAATAAATAAATATGAAGACTTATATTAACGAAGGGCTCCTTTATAGCGTAATATTACTGGATTATTCATGCGGGTCAATTCTTACAACTTTATGTACTGTTTAATTAATCTATCATACTTTATTTGTTGATTAAACAACCATATAAGTGTATTTAAGTTAAGTTAGAAGTAGTTTCCTTGAAATATGATTGAGTACCAGTATAAAAATCGCATAGAATAAAAATAAAAGCCACAAATTTGAGTAAAAGTACTCACTTTTGACCACTGATATTAAAGGGATATATGTTTTAATGACTTTTATTTTCCAAAAAAGACTAACGTTACTACCATAAAGTGACCATAAACACAATACTAATTCAGCTTATTTTCTACTTTTATAAACACTTTATGGTAATAACTAATCTTAATTTAAAGTCTTCTCTACCTTCCAGGGACTGTGTGTGTTCTCGTGTCCTTCCCCTTCATTTTCAACCCCTGCCTGGCCTGTAAAGACAACACTCCTCCGTGGGCTCAGCTTATTTACTTCTCCCCCTTCATCATCATCTTCCAGTTCGGCTGGGCGGCCACTCAGATCTCACACCTGTCCCTCATCCCGGAGCTCGTGTCCAGTGACAGCGACAAGGTGGAGCTCACTGCGTACAGGTGAGCCGAGGTGACGCCATGACGTTGGTCCTGGACGGAAAGACAGCCTCGTTCTCATTTACTGACGTTTTAAAATAAAAACAAAACTTTACTCAGTTTTATTGTAAAGAAATAAACATGGAGTCTTTGCCGTCTTGTGGGACGTACATGTTAAAGGATGTCGGACCAATTTCCTGGCTTCGCTGGTTGCCTGGCAACTGCGCAAACTTTTCTGAAAAAAAACAAAACAACAACAACCAAAAAGCTAAATTATGTTTTGTTTCATTATTTTGAGTAACAACAACCCAAATAAATGACAACAAAATATTTGTTTTGATTTAAATAAAATGCTTTTTTTGGGTTTGTTTTTTTTTTTTTGCCTTGTGCTAATCCCCACATTATGACAACATTTTACAGGAAAATGTTTTGTTTATTTCTTTAAAACAATTACATTTATAACATATTTTAGAGTAAATTATTCCTTTAATTTAAAATCTCTAACTCTGCCACTTACTCACCATGCTTGTTTAAACAGCTTACAGTATTAAGAATGACTTTCCTGAGCTCTGCCTGTTGACAAGGCGTCTCTCTGATGTGGAGTTTCATTGTTGTGGAGCAGTCACATATTTCCATTCAGGAGGCAAAGCTGGTGTGATTGGACTGTTTTCCAAAAACATAGTTGACCCCTGTTGAATTAGAGATACAGTGTAACATAGTTAAATCTGCTTTCATTATATTTTTAAGAAAACAATTCCTTTTTAAAAGGTGTAGTTTACAGGCTTTAGGAGCAACAACATTGGGCTTTCAGACTCTTAATATTTTACTTCTCTGAATCTGAAAACACGACCGATGGGGTCAGTTCTTCCATTGTTTATCTCCCCTTCAGTCGTCCAGCTTCCTTCTCAGTCTCTCCTTTTTCCTCTACGCTACCATGTCCTCATTCCCATCTTTGGGAAAGGTTGTCACGACTTCCTCATAAAAACCTTCTTCCTCTTCTACCGTCCAAACCGTAAAGAGCAGAACTGACGAAACTATTTGCAACATCAGATTCATGTCACGGGGGGATTATTATGCCAGTGGAAGTAAAATAATAAGACAGAAATAGCAGCCAAATTCCTTGTGAGAAGAAAAGAGAAGTTACTCTGGAAGTGATCTATTTTTAAATATTGAAACAAGAACAAGATGCCTTTGTGTCCTCGGTTTTTTTTTGTAGATATGCCTTCACTGTGGTGGCCAATATCACCGTGTACACCGTGGCCTGGCTGCTCTTTCACTTCCAGGCTCAGCACAATGTGGACCCCTCCATCACAGACAACCTGGGCCTGGTGGACGTCCCTCTGTTCAGGGTAAGAACAGAGATACCTGAGAGATTTATACACTCCTGCAGACTCACTATAATTTAAGCTGAGCTCTCTCTCTCTGTCCACAGACGCTGGCCGTCATTATGCTGGGCACCGGAGCCGTGTTCTCCCTGATATTCCATGTGGGGACAAAAGAGCTGATCACACCTTCCTCCTCACAGGAAACTTTGTCTCATACTGTATTTCAGTGGAAGCATTGGCTGAAGGAGCCCTCCTTCTACCAGGTGACTCCTAAATCTTTTCTGCTGATGTAGAAAGTTTCCCTCCTTTTTATTTTCTCACAGGGTGAATTCATTTATGTCAGTTTACATGAGAATTAAAAAGGTATTGCAGTTCGTTATCTGCACGTGACTAAGGCTCGGACTGGGTGTTGGACCTCAATATTCATAGCATCAACTTGTTAATTTATTTTTGTTTAGATATTTCCTCATTTAAATGATAGTTTTGGTCATTTTAGAGCTCTTTTAAGACTTTTTAGAGGAAAAAAATGAGTTTTAGCTGTATATTTGTCAGGTCCAGGCGGCTAACAAGTTTATATTCCTCAATATGAGGCATCAAAAAAAAGTGTAATTTTGTTATCAGTACTGAAACTTGTGTATTGATACCAGCATCCAAAAACTTCAATGACACCCGACCCTAACTGTGATGCCTTACATAACTAAAGCGAGTTTCAAGAGTATGCTCATTTAAAGTAGTAAAAGCCGATGGCTGCCTTCAGTGCAAGGAAAAATAAGCATCCAAAAATCTAAATAAATGTATAGCGTACATCGAAAAGGATGAACAATAATGTCGATTACACACTATATAATTTGCAGATTTGTTTGCTAAAACCTGCAGAAACACTGAATGATGCTCTAAATCTCTTTGATTTTGTACCAGATGGCTTTCCTGTACATGTGCACCAGACTAATAGTCAACTTATCTCAGACCTACATCTCTGTTTACCTTACAGACTCACTGATGTTACCAAAGGTAAAGCCCACACAGTGTAACTCATTATCTAGCCTCCTGTGTTGCAGTGTAGATGCTAATTTTCCCTCCTCTGTGCTCAGAACTTCATCGCCATTATACCTCTGGTGATGTATGTCAGCGGCTTCGTTTGCTCTCTGGCCATGAAACCAATCAGCAAGTTCATAGGAATCAGTGTGAGTGTCTATCTAATAATAAGATACGTACATATTTACTGTCACCATACTGGCAACAACTCACTCTCTTGTGTTATGAATTCATAGTCTGTTGCATGATCAATAAACAAGTGATTTGAAGTTATATTGAATTTAAATGTATCTGCTGTTGTCAGATTACCTATTTGATCGGCCTGTTGTTGGTGTTTGGCTTCGCTGTCTGGGTGTTTTTGGACGAGAACATGGGAGCTGAGATTATCTATGGAGCGGCTGTGGTGCTGGGAGCTGGTTCAGCTACAATCCTGGTCATGTCGCTGTCCATGACGGCCAAACTCATCGGGGAGCAGACGGTAGGTGCAGGGGAACTAACCTACAACAGGTCACAGCTCTGTTGGAGAGTTGTTGCATGGAGGAATTAAAAGGATGACGCTCACCATATTTTAGATATTTGTCATGTTATAAATAAATCCCTATTAATTCTATCAACATCCTGATATATCTCATTCCCCTGTGCCAGAGATTCCAATGTTGTCTAATCCTGTTAAAAACATTAAAATAAATCAGCCACACTGTTAGAGGCACTGGGTGACTCTTCTTTCATTAATTTTAATATTTTTGGGGGATTATTGGATAGATAGCAGCTGAAGAGTGACAGGAAAGTGGGGAGAGATGGGGGGAGTAAGACATGCAGCAGAGGCCCGTAGATTTGAACTGCAGTAAGAACATGGGACGCACACATATTCCTTCATTATGATGAACATGAGCACTGCAGTGTATGTTGAGTCAATCCCACATGAAAATAGTCCCCAACAAATGTATGGTTTAATTCTGACGATGTTTGCTACAAACTACAGTACCCAGCTGTTTTAGGAAATTACTGACTCTTAAAAAAATATGAAAATATGTATTTATGGCCTATTTTGAAAGACTTACATCAGTAGGAACGAATGGACTTGTGACTGAAGGCCACAGATGTAGATATTGTTAGTTTTGGTCTTCCTGTCTTATCAGTAAATTGTGGGAATTGATAATCAGTATCCTCAACAGTGGAGTGCCATGGCTCTGTTTTTTTTTAAATAATTTTTTTAAATTAACTTTTTTATTGATTCCATTCAGTATTGTCCCATTAGCATTTGACATCTCACACATGTGTTTTCCATGTATACAGACTCAGAGCATACAAAAATTCACAATTAAACACAAAATTCTTCAAAAAATGTTCATTCCTCTCTTGTAAAGACCTTTCTCACCTGGTGAAGGATAATGCCGAACACAATCTTATGAACATTGAACATTTAAAATGTGTAGCAAGAACTAAGGGGATCCATAAGATACATACAAGTCTGTTCTCAATGGTGTTACAAAATCAACCCAGTTGCTCCAAAAATTCTTAAATTTATCTGATTCTAGTCTAACTGAGAAAGTCAACTTTCATCCTCCATTTTAGGTACCTCTTTTATCTGCCACTAACATTATTCTGAATAAATGTTTGTCCCCTGAATTTGTTATTCTCTGGTTCCCTTTTCCCAAGTACAAAACATGAAATGTAAATGGAAGTTCCACTTTCAAAATTTTCTCCATGCATTTCTTTAATTTATTCCCAAAAGATATGAAAATGATTGGCTTTACTTTCTCCACATAGTCTCCAACATCTCGTATCCTGAGATTTCTGTTGTGCTGGTGTAATAAAATATCTCACTATGTTCTGCCAACCATATTCTCTTCATGAGAGGGAGCATGTTGTCTTCCATTGTTGTTCATTGATCTCTCCCCATTCCTCCTTTGACATCTTTATATAATTTTGAGATGAATTTCTTGCCCAGATCTCATTCATATGCTAAAATAAATCCTTTAATAATTCCTGACTCTACCTCATCTAAACTGGACTTTTTTTTTTTTTTTTTTTTTATAGTTTTCTCCGTATAATGCCTGTTTTTGACAGTTACAACACAGTAGTTTCCTAATCTGCCAAAGCAAAAAATACAACCTAACAGGACACAAATACAATAATCACATGCCACTTCAAAATGACACAGCGAGTGCAGGAGAATATGCAGAGGCTGATTTTATCATCAGTTCTCTTCACTTCGAGAGGTCAGGAGAAACCTCGTCACAAGGCGGCGAGGAACAGCAACCTTTTTGTTTTAAATGTCACATCAGAATCATCCGTCCAGTCACAGGAGAGTTAACTGAAGATCTACAGTGTGATAAATGTACTAATGCTTGTTGTAATACTAATATTATCAGACCAGTCAATCAGTTCTCGTGCCACTGGATCACAGGCGTGTTAGAAGATGCTCGGGGAAAGCTCCCAGCTGTGAAATTAAAAGGGGAGGATTTGTAGTGGCGTGTTTGTATCACAGCACATTTTACTGCTGTTAAATCTCTTCTCATGTCTGTCTTCCTTCACTCTCACCCCATCTGACAAAGAGATGAATGAATGCTGGATGAATGCTCACAGAGGGTCTATTGTGTCTTCACAGAAGCAAATGCAGTTTTTTAGATAGATTTCACTCCTTTGTACTTGTGCTGCAGTGACTGTAATAATCTTTGATCTCTGTCTTGTTTGGCAGCAAAGTGGAGCCTTTGTTTACGGATCGATGAGCTTCACAGACAAGGTGGCTAATGGCGTCGGGGTCATCCTCATCCAGAGCATCCGACCTTGCAGGTGAGTCTCTCTGAGTGACTGACACTTGAGTAGTTCTTCTGACTGAGACGGTAAAATGAAAGTTTGTAGGAAGCTGTCAGAAAAGATGAAGGTATTTCCCACAGGAAGAGATGTTCTGTGGTTGGTCTGAGCTTTTATTTCTGCCTGAATACAAGGCACATTTTTTTTGTAAGCAGTGATTCCCAACCTTGAAAACCTGGAAACTGTTTGGAAACGAGCAGGCACTACCAGGTAATTGGTAGGAGTCAAAACCAAGAACAAAAACGTCTTTTCCATCGTGTCCATTCAGTGCTCTTCTGTGATCTTCTTTCAATGAATAAATACTCTCCAGTTAGCAGTCCTTAGCAGCCACCACTGTTAGCGTTAACACACCATAGCTGCCAGTAGTTCCTCATAGGATGCCGATTGGTCCAAACCGCTGAGGTTGGACACCAAGGCTTGAGGCCCGGCAAGATGGATTCTGGAGTCCAGGTGTCTCACAAGGTTACGTCAATATGAGTCCTCATCACAGGTTGTATGATTATAAGTTTGTTAGTTCAGTCAAAGAACAATGTTCTCGTCAGACTGTTTGAAAAGTCTGAAAAATAAACATGTTTTTGTGTAGCAGAATTTCTCAACCGGCCCTCAGGTTGCGAACCATTTCGCTTTAAAGGCAAAAGCAGCTGATCCTATATACACACACACACACTGATCAGCCATAATGTTATAAACCACCTGGGCCCCCTGGTGGTTATAATGTTATGCAGCCCTATGTGCAACAAACTGTGATACACTGTGTGTTCTGACACCTTTCTATCAGAACCAGCATTAACTTTTTCAGCAGTTTCAGCTACAGTAGTTCGTCTGTTGGATCGGACCACACGGGCCACTTTTGATCGGTACTGACCACCACAGACTGAGAACAACCCACAAAGAGCCCTTCAAAATACCAAAACCAACAATGAACTGATCCTAACAATTACTCCCTGTGTATCCAAGTCCTAATAAAGCCTATTCCTCTGTGCTTTAAACTGCTGTTTAAAAGTCTAAAATGCAACCATGAGCACAGTACTGGGGGACATGTTCCTTCATTACGATGAACATGGGCACTGTAGTTTATTTTCAGTTGAACACATACCTGAAACACTCACTGGAGCACCAAAGTTGTATTAATCCACAGCTGAAAATAGTCCCTCACAAATGCACTGTTTACTCCCGCTTGAGTATTGTTTTAGGAGATTACTTAGACTTCTCTTTTTTAAATAGACAATATATGTGACCTGTTTTTAAAGATTTACACCTTCTGTAGACTTTAATACATACAATAACACCAGCCTTTCTTTATGTGTATATTTCTCCTACAAAATGAATGAAATAGACAGAAGATTTTTCTTACTTAAAGATGTGAAAACATTCATGTGGCTTTATTGCACACAGTTGAACTTTCACTTCTCATAACCAACTTTCTTCTCACAGTTTAACAAAAGCTGTTCCCCTTTTTTCTCTTTCTCATGAACAGCACCGAGGCCTGCTGCCCAGACTGCGTTTGGTTTTATCGTGACATCATGGTGACAGTAACCGGGGGCGTCGCCGTGGCTGCAGCACTTGGCCTGGTCACAATTCTAATCTGGCCAATCAGGATACGGAGAAATTAGGGTTCAAAACCTCCACTATCCTCTTTACACTCACTGGTAGTCATTGTCTCGTACCTGTGTGCACACACACACACACACACACACACACACACATTAAACAACATCAACAACATCAACAACATCAACAACAACAACAACAACAACAGAGATTTAGTGACCTACAGTATTATGTTTATGTTTAAATCCACTGTTACTACTTCAGCAGGATACAGAGCACAATTGTATTCAAGCTCCTCGACGATCACTTTCTAAATATTTTATTTTGGACTTTAGGAAAGTAAAACCTTTGTTGCTGGACAAGGGGAAATGGTGCAGAGGATAAAGCCATGCTGCCCCCTAGTGTGTGAATCTGTAACTGCACTGCTTTCCTGGAGGGGCTTTTAAACCTGATAATTATATTAAACACTCTACGCAACCAGAAAAAGATCTTTAAATTGATTTAATGTCTAGAAGTAATGTAGAAATCGAAATAACAACTACATGAACTCATAAACACACAATATAATGTTTCATATAGATGTCACTCAGCACTTCTAGATTTACATTTGTTAATGAAACTATACACAAACTGAATCCATTTTACACAGAAACAAAACAGAATTTTGTTTGGTGATTGTATTAATTTCTTTACATTGTGTTTGTTGTAAACACGGTACTGTACTGTACATTTTAGTTAGTAACGTTCAAGGATCTCAAAACCCATAAATCAGTAAACTACAATTAAAGCAAAAAGTTTGTATTTCACTCTCAAGCTTTGTTTTGTCACCTTCTCTGTGTTAAAAAACTCAATTAATCTGTTTTATTTTGTCAGTTGCAGTGTCTCATTTTGTGCTCATGGGTCACTTTTTTCTTTGTGCTGTCTCTTTTTATTCAGCTTTTTCTAAGAAAACATTTAGTCTTTTACAAACAATCCTTTCCTAGGACAGCTTGTGAAGACATCAGAATGCAGCTCAGTTATTTTGTCTCACTGAAGGTTGAACACCTTCACGGAGGAACACGATTGAATTTATACACTGAAACAAATGGAAAGCTCTGCAACTTTGTTATAGAGCGAGATAACAAAATAAATACAAACTGTTGAGAGAGGAACTTGAGAAACTAAAAGTAGGACCAGTGAGGACAAAAGAAAAGGCCAAAGCAAACACATTAAATCATATTGGTCATCTTTTATCTCTATAACACTCTATAAACTTTATTTTTTAAACTATACAATCTGCAACAGGGCGATTGATTACATGGACACTAAAATCATAGTAAAATAACTACAGACCCCATTGGGATGAAGTTTTGACTGAAAAATCAAGAGATTTCTTTCTATTTCTGTCTAAAGATTAACTTTATGAAGTCAAACATATATAAAACACCCAACTTAAAGTCTTATTTTTGATCATTTAAAAAGGAAATGCATTGTTGGGAAGATTGATTTCAAGCTTTAGTCAGGGATCAGTGAGCATTAAGCAGCAGCTACACAGAATTAAATTAAATTAACAGGTTTTAATTCATGTTTTCCCCTATTTTATATTTAAAATCTCACCACTGCACATTAACAGGATTATGAAGAACAAAACTTTTTTTAAAACTCACACTTTTTTTATCTTGTAGCTGCAAATTACAAGAAATACATTGTCTGGTTGAAGACTATGACTAAGATTATTATTGTATTTATAACTCTGACATTGGTAATAACATCTTCTACTATAACTGCATTATTGATTGGTTGTGATTCATCTCTGTGGCGGTGTCTCTGTCCCGCTGTAAGCCGCAGAAAGGCCGACCTCTGGCGGTTGAAGCTCGGCGGTGTAGCGGTGTTGTTGCCGTCGGACAGGCGGGACAAAGCGCTTGTTCGAGAGGCTGCAGTCTTGTGAAGGAGCCGTTGTCTCTTGTCTCTGCTCCGGGGAGGGACAGCAGCTTATAGTCGAGCTGAGACCCTTTTCTTTTTTTAAAAGATCAAATAAAAGATCAAATAAAAGATTGTTTCACTTCAACGTTAACTCAGAAAACAGGTGAATTTAATCTGACTGGACGCGTTGTTGGGTTTTTTTTTTTTCTCAGCTGTCTCAAACTTTTGAGAAGAAGAGGACAATTTGACAGGAAACATTAGTATTTTATACCCTTTCATCGATCCTCAGGTAAGATAATATGACTGTGGTTTAGTGTTATTTAAATAGCAGTCTTTAGAGTTATTATAAACTTGCATCAATGTGTTTGTGTTGAAAGTCGCTGCCGTTACAGACTGAACTGAGCTTTAGTAACTCTCTAAAACTATTAACCGACAACAGGAACAAAATCACTACAAAACCACACATCTTCAACCTATAACCTTTATTAACTTATATAAACTCAAGATATCTTTGTTGATTTAAGGTTATTGTGGCTTTTAACACGCATATTAGGTAAACCGTGATCAATAACAAAAAATGATCTCAATACTAAGAATCACAGCGGGTTCACAACCTGCATTATGTTCAGCTTTAGTTTAAGTATTAACTAGTGGTGGTGTTAGAAAAGATCAATACACCTGAGTATCGCGATATTTTGTTTTGTGTTATTGTTTCGGTTCTTCAAAAACACTATTGATTGTTTCAGCCACTAAATACAAGTGTGGTAAACTGAGGACTCTGATGAAGATATTGTGCATATAGTTGTCTGTGTTCATTATAATATGACAGTTTTCCCTAAATTTAGATTTAAAAAAAAGAAGCTTGTTGCTTACAGTATCGCAATATATTGAATCGTAACCAGGTTATTGTGATACCTATAATATCGTCAGATCAGCACACAGCCCTTCTAACTAATGACTTATTAATTATACTCAGGTACTAGTTTATAAAGCTAAAACTAATGCAGTCATATAATAAATCCTACTTTAATGAAGGTTAGAAATAGACTAGCATACAACTATATGTTCTCCCTTTAGGACGAAAACCCAACAGCCCTATAACAATTATAGTAACTGAACACTGTTTAAGTGTAAAACACCAAAACAACATGCAAAAAAATACTGAAACATACCCAAAACATTGAAATACAACATAGTAGAGGAAATGTTTGCTTAGGTTTTGTGTTGATTCAACATTTAGTCTACCCTCACTGGTTAAAACTGGGGTTGGACAATAAGACCCCCCCCCCCTCAGTATAATGAAACAGGGCTGCAGCTATCAGTAATTTTCACTATGTATGAATCTGTTGATCGCTTTCTTGATTAATTGTTTATATGTTTGCTTCATGAAATGTCAGCAAATGGTGAAAATGTTCATCACTGTTTCCCAAAACCAAAGGTGACGTCCTCTAGTGTCTTGTTTTTATCCACAACCCAAAGAAACTGGAAAGTATTCACATTCGAGAAGCTGAAATCAGAGAATTTTGACATTCTTTTGGTAAAATAATTAATTGATTATCAAAATAGTTGGTGTTTAATTTAATAGCTGACAATTGATTAATCCTCTAATTGTTACAGCTTTATGATTGCAACTGAATCCATATCAACCTGTTTTTTTCCACAAGCTGACTTTTTATGACCCCCGGGAGATTTTCCAGTGGCGTGTTTTTTGGGCAGGAAGTCTTGGCTGACTCCTGTGTGTATGCCAGTGGGTCCCAGCCTACATCGGGCCGGGGCCTAATTGTTTTTGACAGATGTGAGACATGTGACTGTATTACTGGAATTCCATTATCAGCAGCAGATGATAGAGTCTCTGTGTTGTAGTGGAGCTCAGCTCAACTGGTGGGTGTCTGACCTGACCTGTGACTGTGGTCCAAATGCTGCTTTCTGCCCAGCTTGAATGAGATTTATGAGGCAGTTTTAGACAAACACCACTGTACTACTACTAATGTGACTACTGCTGTACTACTACTACTACTACTACTATAACTACTGTACTACTACTACTACTAATGTGACTACTACTACTACTAATGTGACTAATACTGTACTACTACTACTACTACTGTTATTACTGTGCTACTGCTGCTACACCTACAACTGCACTAATACTACTGTACTATACTGTATACGATACTGCTGCAATACCGACTATTGCAACTTCTACCACTGTACTAATACTGCAATTTCTACTACTGCAACTTCTACCACTGCAACTAATACTGCAACTTCTACCACTGCAACTAATACTGCAACTTCTACTACTGCAACTTCTACCACTGCAACTAATACTGCAACTTCTACCACTGCAACTAATACTGCAACTTCTACTACTGCAACTTCTACCACTGCAACTAATACTGCAACTTCTACCACTGCACTAATATTGTAACTTCTACCACTGCAACTAATATTGTAACTTCTACCACTGCAACTAATACTGCAACTTCTACCACTGCAATACTGCAACTTCTACTACTGCAACTTCTACCACTGCAATACTGCAACTTCTACTACTGCAACTTCTACCACTGCAACTAATACTGCAACTTCTACCACTGCAACTTCTACCACTGCAACTAATGCTGCAACTTCTACCACTGCAACTAATACTGCAACTTCTACCACTGCAACTAATACTGCAACTTCTACTACTGCAACTAATGCTGCAACTTCTACTACTGCAACTAATGCTGCAACTTCTACCACTGAAACTAATACTGCAACTTCTACTACTGCAACTTCTACTACTGCAACTAATGCTGCAACTTCTACCACTGCAACTAATACTGCAATGTCTACTACTGCAACTAATACTGCAACTTCTACCACTGCAACTAATACTGCAACTTTTAATACTACACTAATAAATTCTTTAAGTAAAAGTTCACTACACTGTATTCGGGAATTTGCTGTTAAATAACTAAAATACTTTCCCTTAATGAGCACATGTCACAAATATGTATTTGGGATTTTCAGTGTGCTGAGTCTTTTTTTAACTACTAGATTAATCTACATAAAGTGTCAAAAAGTAGTGGAAACATTCCTCCAAAGTCAGTGTCACCTAATGTCTGACTAATAGTCCAAAAAGCCAAAGATATTCTGTATATGCCTTTAAGAAGCTGGAACAATCAAATGTCTTTTAACCATAAAAAAAAAGAGTCCATTAAAACTGTACCTGCGATTTGCCATGTTCACTTGCTAGAAGGAAGAGTACAACGATTTGAGCCTTTAATTCCTCTGTATCTGACATTCTGAATATATTAAAGTAGAAGAAGGACCACTGAACCAGGTTGTGAGGCTTTGAGGTAGAAACCCACACTTGTTTTTTCCCTCTCGGTGTAATTTCATTGCTCAGAAAGGGCTCGAGTCTCAGCTTATTTCCTGCCAGTTACCCACATAATCACACACTGCCGTAGAAAATAAACTAAGACCCACTGGCTTACCGAGACAGTCTGTTGATAACAACAATAAGGGACACCTGACACTGCTGCACATCAACACACAACCTGCACATCCACCTGGACCCCCGTCTTTCTGTCTCTTTCTTCTGAGTCTCTCCACTCAGGAGCAGCACAGAGGAGCCCTTGTTTGATCCTCCCTGGACAGTGCCCCAATTTTCTTTTTCTTTTTTTTACCCCGACTCCATGGCAACACTGTTCCCGTGACGAGCAGCCCTGACTTTTGCCCCTCCTGCTCCCAAAAACAAAGGCAAGAAGTTATGGAGGAGGGGGGGAGGAGAGTTGGGGGACAGGGGAATTGTGAGGTGGGGGATGAAGGATATGGAGGAATGAGGGAGGGAATAATGGGAAGGTGTCTGGGATGGAGGCTCTGAGGCGAGACTTCTTCTGCCGTGTGTGCCAGAGTCCCATAAAGAGGGGAGAGTTATTACCCGGGACTGTAGACTGTGGGCAGTGCCAGGGACTGTCTCTCTGTCCGTCTGTAAGTTTCTGAATGGCCGTTACATCCTTCACAGTCCCAGTGAGGCGCCTGAGCAGGAGAAATGTGTAAATGAGAAAGATTTTATTATGCGTGCTGAGGCTTGATTCAGTAAGACGGAGCACTTTGCAAATATCCATGGATGACGAATTAATTAGAAATTAAAAATCAAGGGCTGTTAATGTTTATAAAATGTCAGTAAATCGTAAAATAAATAAATAAAAACGCCCATTGTAATTTCCCAGAGTGCTCGGTGACACATTCAAACTAGCACTAACAGTCCAAAAGTAAAAGTTATTCAGTTTACTATCGTTTACTATCCAATCTCCATGTTTGATAAGCTGGAACCAGAGAATATTTGTCATATTTGGTTGAAATGACTCAACAATTATTCAGTTATCAAACATTTTCCAGCTTCTCAGAAGAGTTTTCTCTGTTTTATATCTTGAAAACTCCATATTGTTGCATTTTTAGACTGTTGTTCTGACAAAACAAGTGAAACTTTTTAGACTAAACGTTTAATCTGTTAAACTCCAGTGTGTAACATTTAGGAGGATCTTTTGTGATATATGAAATATAATATTCATTGTGATGTTTTCATTAGTGTATAATCGCCTGAATATAGGAATCGTTGTGTTTTTGTTACCTAAGAATGAGTCGTTTTTATCTACAGATGCTGCGGGTCTTCTTCCATTGAGTCCACCATTTTGAACCGCCATGTTTCTACAGTAGCCCAGAACGGACAAACCAAACACTGGCTCTAGACAGGGCTTTTTGCGAGTTTCGATGCCACTGTCGTAGTTTCTCCTCCACACTTCACAGCCTGTTCTCATTCCCAGATTGTCAGTTAGTTACAATCTGAATGAATGCTGCTTCAACCTACACACTGGCCCTTTTTTAAAATAGAAATAAATAGATGAGTCGATAGCAAAAGTAATCATTAGTTGCACCCCATGGATTAATGATTGTTAGAAATGATTCATTCCTCCTATTGTTATGTGGTGTGTTATTGTGGTTATGTTACAGTCTGTTACTAAGACATTGCACTCAGCATTGAGTTCATATCATGCTGAGATTAGAGTTGGCAAATAAGGGAAAAGAGTAAAAAGAGGCATTAATGTTCTCAGTTTTTGTCCTCCGCAGTAACTTTGCCCTGCTGTTTTCACTCAAACATGTAGGCAGCTCACTCCCTGCAGAAGAATGGTCATTGTTAAGTCGTATAAACTGTGGCCTTGAATGTCTCTCTGTAAGAATTGTAACAGAAAGAAAACAAAAAATCCTTAGCTGGAGGATGGGATGTGAAAATGTTCAAAGTCTGGCTTGACATTGTGGGGGCTGGAGAGAGACTCCTACAGCCTGTGAAGAGGAAAAAAGGAAAGTATTGTTGTTTGGCTGCACTCCCTTTCCTGGTACCGACATCTCCACACTGATTCTGACTTTGCTTTCGTTCAGAGACCTCAAAGCTAAGGTCATTCCTCAAATATTTTTTTTAATTTTCTGTTGCGGCCGGAAAGCCGGTCTGATCTAGTTCATGATAGGATAAGAAGTGATAAACTCTCTGCTCTCTGTAAAAAGTTACTCAACCTCACAGAAAGAGAAAATTGCACAAACAACCGTAACTCGTGCCCTCATAAATCACACACACCCTTGGACATGGTAAAACATTTACACCGTCCTGTTACTAAGCCTCATTACCAAAGACAGTCACGCCTAACTTTCCCATATCTCCACGTAGCATTACTCATATCAGTGTAGCTGAAAAACAGAGCCAGCTCTTCCTCGCTTTGTGCAATATACCTTGCTCTCTCTCGACTATCCTCAAAATCTGTGTTGTTTTTTGTTTACAGTTCAGGCCATTTTTGAGCCATGTTTGACAAGCAGCGCTACGACAGTCCACCTGTCTACAGTCCTCCATTCACCTCGCCATCCAACAACGGCTTTGGCCCTCCAGGCAGCTTCCATGGCCCTCAGAGCGATTACAACGCATACCCACCTCCGCCGGGATCTTACTACATTGAGGACAGACCACAGCACTTCTACAAATGGCTGTCGCCTCCAGGAATCATCAAGGCCATGATGGCTACGGTGATCGTGTTGTGTGTGGCGATATTTGCTTGCGTGGCCTCCACTCTCATGTGGGACATGCAGTACGGAATGGGGATGGGAATGGGAATGGGCTACGGCAGCGGATACGGCGGCGGCAGCTACGGCTCAGGATACGGTGGTTATGGAGGTTATGGAGGTTATGGAGGCTACGGCAGCAGTAGCTACGGCTCCTACATCTCACCTTACTCAGCCAAAACTGCCATGATTGCCATGGCAGCCATTAACTTCATTGGGGCACTGGCGTTCTTCATCACCAGCTTCTCTAAATCCAACACCGTCCGCAGTAGGAAGTTCTTTCTGGCCCTCCTGATTGGCAGCATCATTATGTCTGTCCTGCAGGTAAGACTCATCCACATTTAGAGTCTCTAAGCCACCTTGTGTGGAAAAAAAATAGAATATCATGTATTCAGCGTCTGTTAGGACAGTTGTTTGTGCTCGTCCTCAGAAATTAATGTGAAGCGAATGTGTGGTTAAACAGCAAGTGTATCTCCATCTTAACTTCTCTATAGAGGTGCAGGAGAGCTAAATATTGAGATCATAATGCTCTGTAAGTAGAACAAAGATATGTTTAAATTCAGACTCACTTCTTCAAAATGTGTCTGGTAATGAGAGCTGCTGACTCTTGACTCCTGTTACAAATAATACAGTTTTGATTTACTGCTTCTCCTAATCCAGCAATGTCCAAATCTAAGCACTGTGTGTTCCCGAATAAGGACTTTATTTCTCGTAGATTTTGCTGCTCCTTGTATATTGTTAAATAGAAGTGTATCCCTTTTGTCACACACACACCATGTGCCTTGCCCACAGAGGCTCTGAATACAACAAATATTGTATACTAGACAAAAAATTGAATCTGCTACACAGACCTCAAATTGTAGACAAGATACTTTGTCTCCTCTCATAAACTCTATAGCAGATATTTTGGGATTCCCCAGATAAAACAGGCAATTTCTGTAAGGGACAATAAAGCTTTAACTGGAGTCCATCTTCAATCCTGAATCACACACAGAGATTGTTGAACTCTGTCTAAATGCTGCTGCCTTATATATGGTTCAACATCATATGTGAGAAATGTAGTTTGTACCCTATATTAACAGCACTGAAGCATCTCACATTAATGTCTTTAACATTGGGAGGTTCCCATCCCACATCCCAACCAACAGTGAAAACTCCTTGCTCTGTTATGAACGGTATTTAAATGTGCATGTTTTTGAAAATTCCTGAATACCAGAAGTGTAATCTGGAACAGGACTTTGTGTACACAGTTTAACTCTCTTCAGATCCCAGTGTTCCTCTGGTTGATTAAAACAGATGTTTGTCCAGGATCACACCAAAATGTTTATGCTGCTTATGTAACAGTACCATAGATCCAGAAAAGTATTTTATCCAGTGTGTTGATTTTATTCCAACCTGCTGGGGTTAGGGTTAGTGTTTATATGTTCAATATGGAAGACGAGTATTCAGTTAAAGTACATTTATTATATAAATTAGCTTTCGCTTCATTAAATGCTTTCTTTTCTGCTAAGTGAGGTTTGCATTAGTTTCTTAAACCTGTAGGGTTGTCACTGTTTCTTTGTGAAGAGCATTTAATCAAAGAACTTGTTTTACCATATCAAGCATCTATTAAATATGGATTATTTTAGATGTTTCCAGGCGACTCCAGCTGATTAAGCTTCAACAACATATTCCAGACGCACTAGAAAACACTAGAGAAACATTAAAGGTCCATTTGTCCAAAATAAGTCCTTGTTGTACTGTACCCTTTACAGGATGCTCAGCAAATCATTGGGGTGATATGATTGTTTTTTCCAATGAGAGACTAACAGATTTTATAATTAACTTACCATATATTGTTTTTTTCAGGGAATCATAAACATTGTTTACATCGTCGGGGTGAACCCCATGGCCCAGGGCTCCTCCAGTATGATGTATAATCCGATGCTTATGATGTGCCAGAACCTCTACCAGACCAGCTACTCACAGATGGGAGGAGTGGGAGGCTTCCCCATATACAACCAGTATCTCTACCATTACTGCTTTGTGGACCCACAGGAGGTGCGTAGCTTTTCCTGGAGACATTTTGTAGCGTTTGATGTGACAAAGCAAGGGTTTACTCCTAGATCCTCTTCAGGTTCATTTCAAGTAGATGTAGTAATCTAATTTAAAGGTTTATAATATGATTTTAAATTGATTGGGCTACAGTTGTAACTGTAATTTTGAGTTGGATGAACAGTGAAGCCCACACAATATAATTTTATTTCAGATTGCAATATGTGGACTACACATAAATAAATTAGGGCTGCAAGTAACAATTTCATGAATTCGTCTCCTTTTCTTTAAAAAAAAATAGAAATTAGACTGTTTGGTCTATAAATTACTTTAAGTAATGTCTTTAAATAAAAAATATTCACTGTACAATAATATCAAACAAAGAAAAGCAGTAAATCCCATTTTAGAAGCTGGAATCAGTAAATGTTTGGTATTTTTTTGTTATTTAATGACAAAGTTTTGTGCTCATAGAATAAACTATTCATTCAAATATCATATCAGCACCAAAATGAATGTAATTGAAATGTTTTAGGTTTACTGTGAAACAACAGCGTATAAAGCTGAAAGCTTAATGTGGGAAAAGTGAGATAAATGTGGACTCATAAAGCATTGCCTCTTATATTATCAGTCCTGTAACATTTTGTAATGGTATCTGTTATCATGAAGCATGTGTTGCATTTTTTGGTTACACAAATTTGTGATATGTATTTCTCTGAATGACGTCACGCGTGTGTTTGTGTGTATGTCTTGTACCAGGATAAACCGGCTTTATCTCAAAGCTTATCTCCCTGACAACTTTACAAATTTTCTTCTCATGTACTTGCTTTTCTAGGGAGTTGCCATGGTGTGTGGATTCCTGGTTGTCATCGCCTTCGGTGTGGCGGCTTTCTTCGCACACAAAACCAGAGGAAAGATCTGGCGCTACGGCAAACCAAACATCTACTGGGACGAGCCCCTTGTCGGCGGGAAGGCCTCGGAGGGCAGGGATGTAGAGGAATGGGTAAGAGACGACAGGATGGTAGTCGCAGTTTAATAAGACCGGGTTAACATGGGATTTGCAAAGAAAAATCATATTTTCGACCCAAGCTGACCCTGAGTTTGTGCATGCACAGCTTGCAGTCAAATGAACAGGGTCAGAGAGAGTTTAAATCCAGCCTAAGGAAAGTTGATGGAACACAGTGTTCACCGACGGATTTGATGATGAAATGATCGACTACGGTGGTTTTTCATAGAAGGTACGCCCACCAAAACTGACAAAGTAGTCTCCACCTGTTTTTACAATGCTCAGTAGGTACATAGGTAGCTCATCGGTGAGGTAGTCATCCTGCTAAGGTAGTCATCAGTTATAAAGATGTGGTTAGTTGAGTGTGGTGATGCAGATGCAGTAAATAGCCAAGCTCGAACTTGCATATTCCTGAGGTTGTGGTCACTTGTTATGCTATTTTTTGACATGTCGATACCATATCACCATAAGACTTTGCAGTGCTGATCAGCAGTTTAAATCTCTGTTTTTATCAATTGTCTTTATGAGTTGAAAGTCCAAAAGAAGCGTTATATATAGATCTTTATCGGTTTATACTGTAGGATCCAGCAAGGGAAACAGTCACACTAACATTACAGTGTTTCCTCTGACTGAGTCACTTTGTTCGGGGTCAGGGCTGATAGCAGTCAGCGATTGTTTGCTCATGGTCTACTACCTGGTTTCACTCTGGGTAATCATTAACCGCCTGAGAAGATAGTAAGCAGGCAGGTGGTTTCTAGAGAGCCTGCCTTTGGGTTTTTAAATGTCAACATCACTTTGGTCCTATGGGACTGTTACCTGAGATATGGTTTGATTATTGACTCGACCTGCCACTTTTCAAACGATGCCTGTTTCCTACAGTGAATGACAAGGAGTTAACATCAACAGCTCAGGTTTGAACATTGAATTGATTGGCATAAATGGCTCTAATAGGGTTGTTGTTGACATTCAGTAAACTAGATTTAAAACACCAACATGTCTATACAGTGTGCATAAGACTGACATGAAGGAGTCTTTATGAATGTGTATGACTCGCCTTTAAGTGTCTATCAAACAATTCAAGCAGTATTCTGGTAAATGAAGCCAATACGGAAGTTACAAAAACAGAAGTTCTTTGGAAGGCCGCTTGAAGCTGGCTACCAAAGCGATTCATTCTCTATAAGCCCCGATATTAAAATGTCCTAAAGTTATGTATAATTAAGGGGATTGTTGCTTTGAGTGACAGGAGGGTGACGCCACGGCCTAGGGGTCAGTTATGTCACTTTTAATGCAACGTTGACATTGTTTGAGATGTCTTTGTTATGACAGCTTCATATTAACCAAGACCTGTCATAAAGCCAAGTCAGAAATAAGTCACAGCTGGCCTCAAACTTTAAGAAACTCTTAAGAGCATTTTAATTGTGTCCTGAATACTTCCCTTAACCTCAACTACAGTGGTAATATTTGGACTAGTCAATAAAATGTAATTAAGTTTTATTACAGTGTCAGATGATTTGATGTCACACATTAATCCTCCTCACCTCACCTGCAGTGGTAGAAGTCACAGCAATGTGTTATTGCTATTGTTATTGTATGTATATGAAAAGTGGGTGTGTAGAATATTTCCTTTCTGTCCACTGAAGTAGAAACTGTAAGCCAGCATCCTTCCCCCCTCATGTTCACATGCATTGTTTGTTCAACAAACATTGTGCAGGGCACGTAGCATACAGTATACACAATTGAAGCATGCATGAAAAATATTATCAAACAAAACTAAATATTACTAGTTGACCGTGTCTCCTCAACCCCCCATCCACCCATCTTGTTGACCAAACTAACTGCCAGTAATAAGTCGCCCATAACCTTTTGAAAGGCTACTTGTGTTATTTTAATAAGGAGTTAAAAAGCTAAAAGCTAAGCACTCACCATGTGTAACCATACATATCTCTATACTTAAAGGAGTCTGTAATCTGATGAAGTTAGTCAATGCAGGATGCAGAAAGTGCTGTCTGAGTCAGACTTTATCTCTTGCACTGACTGAAAATTACCAAAAGAAACACTAAACAGACATGGTGTTATATTGGATTATATAGAGCTGTTTGTTGTTGAGAGTGGTTGTCATTGCCTAGAACATGGCATCATGTACGCGGAGGTGAACAGGCTGAGCAGAGTAGACGAGACAAGCCCAGAGTGAATCCTGTGACTAGCACTAGTGTCTGATAATGGAGCCATGCTCACTGATGTCACCAGACTTATTGTAGGTACAATAATAAAGTGTACGCTGCTACATTTAACGATTGTTGACATTTTTGATGTAAATACTGCCGTACAAATAGAAGAAATTTGGATTATAAATGGGAAAAGGTCAAAGAGTTCTTAGAGGATTTGATTACATTTTATTGCAATCAGATCATTATTTATTCAAGCTCAAGGATTAAAACATGTATGTAGGTTGTGGAGGTTTGACTTTGCTCCCATAAGACTTTATTCTCTACAAAAGCAGGTCATAGTGTGCCATTATTGTATATCTACATATGGATATAGGTTATCTTTGTAACAGCCTCACTAAAGGGGCTCTTAGTGTGGTAGAATTTGCCCTCTTGACCTAATTTCCTTCATATTTCTTCATGTTCCACACTGCAGTTATGTATTTCCTTCGTTGCTATGCTACCTGCGTACTGTATCTGTGCCACAAAATGAGTCATCGGGCTTGTTTGGCTCCTTTAAACACCAGGCCCAGTGACAGTCTGAGGCTGTGGTTGGTTTGACATTGGACCCATCTCTGTTGCTGAGCTTGCGGAGCCCTGGCATACACTGATGACCTCATACACTGGCCTCGTTCAGCTCGCCCAGGGGGGACGCATTGTGTCTGCCGCATGAGGTCATCACAGTCGGTTTCTGCAGGGGCTGTCTGTGTGCTGCTCAATAAAACTGGCTGCTGTTGAAGCGTTCTCCCTGGTTTTGCAAAGCATTAATAGTGGGTTTTGGTTTTTAAGTAGACATTTTGAAAATCTTTCCTCTCAGTCACACCCATGCCTCTCCTTGCCACTGCTCTTCTTCTCCTTCTGTTACATGCACGTCTCCCTCACTTTGCTTTTTTTTTTTTAGCCTCCCATGCCTTGTCTGCTCCCCTTTGCTCCTTCTTCCCTCATCAACATCCACTGCTTTGTCTCCGTCTTTGCCTTCTCCACCAGGTCCAGGACTCTCAGGCATTCTTACTGTGCTTACATACTCTGCTCCCTCTGCCCAGCAGCCACTGTGTTGCACACTGAGGGGGCATTGTTGGGATATATGAAGTGCATATTCTCTTGCAGCTGCAAGATGCTGCAACTCACCCCCACCCAGGCACTCCACCCACCATGATTATTGTTTTTTGGGGGCGAGGCTGATGTAAGGCTCTGCTCCTGCACTGTGAGGAATTTAGGCGATTGCTCAGCAGGGTACCACCTAAAAAAGCAAGAGGGTGAATGTTTTGTGTTATATAGTTTGGAAATAGAGACAAGTACAGTCTTCTTGTGCAGGTGTAGTAGATGTCAGATATCCTATTTCAGAGGAGCATAACCCTGGATGTTACTCCTGCTCCACAAAAGTTTGGTGTTTTTCCAGATGCATCACACAAACATTTTCAGTGCTATTTTGTGTACAAAACACAGATATTGTGCCTCTAGATTTTAAACTTTATTTAAAACCTTTACTAACATATACAATTATAATATTTTATATAGTTTTAATCTTCTTTTTGTTGTATTTTAGTGGCCTCATGTCTTCTTTGTGTTGCTACAGTTGATGAACAACCAAAGGGTACTCTGCTAACATTTAAAGTTTAGACTCCACTGTTATGTGTAGAGGTTGCATAAAAGGCATCTAATGATTGGTGAATTTAGTGGACCCAGTGGCAGTAGAAGGAGCCGTGACCGCCCCTGAGGCCTTCATTGTGAGGAATTCCCTCATGCAGGCTGTCTGACCTCACAGGAAGGACTTGGAAATACAGATAAAGGCGAACTTATTTACATGACAGACTCTGTTTCATTTAGTGTGAAGAAAGAAAGGAGGAGCACATCCGTTCCAGGTGTCCATGAAAACATAAGACAATAGAAAGAAGTGAAAGCAAAGCTGAATTTATTGTCTGATATTTTCTGTGTATATATAATATCCTCACATCTAAGCTTTTTAGGTTATAACGGAATCAGAAACAGACTTAAAATATGGGGACACTTGCTGTAAACAATTGGTTTATTATTGTTAGATTCAATTTACAATTAGCCTTAAGTCATCCTTTGTTTTTGTTCTCTTGACCTTTTCACGCACGGTGAACCAAACAGATAACCCTCAATAAACCCTCAGTTGGACTGTGCTGTCCAATTACATGCCTGACTGCTCTTTCAAACTTTAAGCACTAATCACCAAACCTTTGTCTCTGTTGGTTGTTTTTTTCTTTCCTCTTTTCTCCTCAAAGTTTATACCTAAGGAAAAGAGGAGAAAAATAATGGTTTCTTTAACAGGATGTCAGTCAAAAAATGAGCCTGTAGCGTGGCCTGGTCTTTGTGAGTGCTATGGTTGTTTGTTTGTGTTTGCTGAGTCTGTTCCTTCTGTTTTTTCCTGTCTGCTGTAGGTGAACAATGTGGAGGAAAGCCGCAGTGTTCAAGACGCCCCTACCCTGCTGGTGTCAGAGAAGGGAGCCGGGCTGCTCAACGCCTCAGCAAACAGTGTCATCTCCTACCCCCCAGACAAGGTGGACAGCAGCTCCTATAATGGGGACGAAGACGACAACAACGAGTGGGTTTTTCTTTATTCTCAGCCCCCTTTTTCAGCTCTAGAGTCTACATATAAATCAGAGGAAGCACATCTTCGCTGATTTTAAACACTTTCTTAAAGTCACACTGAAACAGAAGTTAAAACTTCTTTGTCTTTTGTACTTTCACATATTTCCGCGTGAATCAAAGTATATGGGCAGTGTTTAGGTATGAAGGGGTTTTTAAATCTGACCCCCGGATTCGGATCGCTCCAAAGTGGGTCGTTGTGTAGCAAACACATGGCGATATGGAGCTGTAGAGAGGCACGCAGAGACTGTAGACGCTGTTGGCTTCCACCCACGATTGGATGAGGGACAAATGAAGAAATTAGATCCCAACAACGCTCTTTTGAAAATGTTAACGTTTTTCAAAACACATACCTCTGCCCAATGACATCACTCTGCTAGCTACTAGGACCAATAAGCATGGTTATATATGATGAATGTGAGTAAGCAAGTTACCCCAAATCAAATTAAATTGGCTACAGTAGTTAAAAATTAGTCATTAAAATATATTTGGCTAGGAGATGGAGATTGGATAAGTGACTGACGAATGCAGAATTATTGTGTATTGCCTTTAAACTCGGACAGATGCAGAATTTAGATTTCTGTACACTGTAAAGCAAAGATTTCACACAAACAATGAACCTCTAAACATGCGATTTACACAAGCAACATCTAATCACTGCTCCGCTCTAAAGCCCATGAAAACATATTGCCCTACCCACGAAAAGAGCTCTGTGTGTGACCTTTGAGCTTGTGTTGGATTAACTTTCCCTGGGTTGTTTTCTTTTTGTTTTTCATGTTCATGGAAATCTCTGAGGAAGGGAAAAGGCAGGATGTTTGTGAACAAATGTATTTGCTTTTCTCAAAGCTAGAAATGACTTCTCAAATAACCTTTTGCTTACATTAACATCCTCAAGACCGCAGTGTTTGTGACTACAAGTACAATGCTCTTTACTCAGTACCTTTGAAAAAACAAGCCTAAGCTCCCGTGAAAAAACTATGCTCTAAATGACCTGATTATGTGGACTTCACTGTAAATGTTCACAGATATAATCAACCTTTACGTAGACAACTGCAAGGATGCAAAGTGCAAAATATTGTACCGACGATTTCCTCTCTCACAAAGTAAACATCGTTTTTCATAAGCAGGAGAATGTTAGCCTGAAGACTCGCAGTGTGCTCTGTTGTTAATAACGCAGAACTTGTAATATCTGCACCGCTGGATTTGGATTCCTCTGCAAATCCCCACAAACGTACAAAATTGAGCATGTTTCCTCCTTCCCGTTATTAAAGAGCTGTACCTGCTTCCTGGTCACAGAGGGCCGTCCACATGGCACAAATTGTAGAGTCTGAGCAACAATAATCATTAGTGGTTCAAGGTGTTTACCTTCCTTCATATCGTATCTGTCTGGGCTATTTCAGTAAATATTAGTTTTATTTAGACACTCACATTAGACCTTGGTGTTATTTGTATCATGGTGTTCTTTATGTAATTTATCTTTTTGTTTGATTTGTTTATGTAGTAACGGACATCATTTCCACTGTGGATGGGGACATTTAGATTTACTCAGTGTGATTTATAGTGTCCTCACAGCATTACGTTTTATGAACAAAAGAGAATGACATGGACACTTTCTTTAACCCTCTGGGCTTTGTGGATGTAGACAGCCTGAGAGGATGACTGAATGCAAGACTCACTGTTAGTTTAAATGGGGTTAGTGCATTAATAATACAGCATTCTGTATACAACCTCACTGCTAGTAAAAACAAACACATATTCTGCTTTCAGTCCTCTTTACTTATATAAAGTAATAAGTGGTTCCAGTGGAAGGCATTCATTACCAATGTTTTCATGCTTTTGTTGCTGTCCTGCAGGTACTCAGAGAGAACCACGAGCCGGCCATCAGAGGCTTTCTCCCATGGTGGAAGAACCAGCTCCAGCCCTTCAGAGGAGACAGGCGGGGGCCGGAAACCCTCTGCCAACAGGGGCAAGAGACGCAGACGTAACCCTGAGCTGGATGAGTCTCAGTATGAGACAGAGTACACCACAGGAGGAGAAACAGGCAATGAACTTGACGGAGAAGAATGGGAGAGGTGAGAATTAAGCTTCCATGACTGTACTATTGTCTCTGTGCAGCTTATACACTGTCTGGATTAAGGACACAGAATCTTGATTGCAGTTGAATGCTGTTGCTCCCTCAGGACCAGACCTTAATTCTCTGATTTGAATAAATAACTGTAAGCTCAGAAAATCAAGCTCACATGAGAGGGACATGACTTACAGAAATGAAGCAACTACAGTATCTTTTATATAGAAACGTGCAAGTATCGAATAGTAGATAAACAGCAAAGCATGGAAAAGGCTACAGTCTGTATATGCTTCACTCCGTCCAGGAGAGTAGTTAATCCTCTGAGGCATGCCAGTTCACATGAGTTGTACTCAGACATAATGAGAGAATTGGGCCAAAGGTACAAAACACTGAAGTCGATGTAGTTTATGAGAAAGCAGTTTATATTTGGCTGTGGTTCAATCTGCCCAGACTTCAACAAATTTCGCTTAGGGAGACATTATTGAAACCAGCACACTTACAGTATACGTCCTTGACCTGTGCACTGCGTTCCCGTGGTTCAGTGGCAAACCTGAGTGAAGGTTGTAAGGTGTGATATTCGGATGAAAGGTTCACCTCTGATGCTGATTGTTTCTCCCTCCTCCTCCTCCTCCTCCTCCTTCTCCTCCTCCACCACCAGTGCATACCCAGATATAAGATCTGATGCCGAGCGCCATGACTATAAGAGAGAGTTTGATGCCGACCTTAGGGAATACAAGCGCCTGTGTGCTGAGATGGACGACATTAATGATCAGATGAACAAACTCAGCCGGCAGCTGGACACACTGGACGACACCTCTGCCAAATACCAGGTCAGATATACACAGAACTCACCATAAAGGTATCAAACATCCTAAATTACTAATCAGAAATTTGTCCCTTCCACTGTAACTCAAACAGTGGATGGAGATGAATAGAAACACTCATATTCCACTTTTGTAGGTATGCTGCTTCCTTCTTTTTCCGCACACTTCATTTGTTATGTTTTCTTGAGCACCAAACCGACACCCTTCAGTGTTTTTGGGCCTCCAAGCAAGAACTCTGCATTAATGATTTTAATTGTTGACTTACTGTAATGTAAACCTTGTAGTGCCGATCAGTCAGAAAGCAAATTCAACACCTTCACAGTTCACATAAGAAATCTTTTCATGTTCTGTTTTAGGAATCATTAAAGGAAATTATGCTAATATGGTGCAAAAAAGGGAACAATAGACTTAATTAAAATAAGAGTTTAAACTTTGCATGATTAGATTCTCAGTTGTTGTTGATGATTTTGTGATCTCGCAGTCTCACGGGGTTAGCAAGTTTATATGGAAAAGACATAAATAGACACACTGAGGCTCATCATCAAGGCCGTTAATGCACAAGACAAGATTCCTCAGTTTGTATTTTATTGCAATTGGATCATAACAAAGAGTTTTCCCTCATGTTTTCACAGGCTGTTGCAGATGAATATAACCAGTTGAAGGATCTGAAGCAGGTGAGGAGACATCACAGATGATACATTTTATAAACTAAACTTAAACTTAAATATTTCAAATATTGAAATCAGAAGAGCTAAAATTTTCACTGTGTATTATTTTTATATTATTCATTACACTCTTGACCATGAATATGAATGTATATACGCTGTATTTTCTAGTATTAAACAACTAATCTGTGCTCTGTCTGCTCTTTAGACATCAGACTACCAGTCTAAGAAGAAACAGTGTCGCAGGCTGAGACACAAACTGTTCCACATCAAGCGCATGGTGAAGAACTACGACAAGAACCACTCGTGAATCCACTGAGTCCTGAAACACTCAGCTCTGTGATCTACACAGCAAACACTCACAGACGCAGACCAAGATACACTCCAAAACACTACAAAAGACTGTGACATCCTGAGACCAAAGTTACCTGTACAGAACCAACACACAGTGGATACACGCTCACTCACACACACATATAGGGAACATACTGTACGTTAATAAAAATGGTCTTGTGTTTTCCTTCATTCACTCTGATCAGTTGTGAATGAATAACTACGTTTTTTGGAAGAAAATTGAAGCAGGGCCCTCAGCTGTAGCACCTTCCACAGCAAGCACTGCCATTTTCTTTTCTCTAGAGATTCAGCTCATTGTTTGCATTGTTCAGCCACTTGTGAGGATCCGAGGGCTGGAGAGAGGTTGTTTGAAAGTCACCTGACCTTAAGCCACCTGTGATAACACTGTGCTCAGTTTCTGTGGCTCTGTTTGCTCTCCAGATTGGCAACTTTTTTTTTTTGTTTTATCTCCACAGATAAGAGGTGGAACAGTATTGTAGAGAACGTAGTAATGGGTGAGGCGGGTTGCTTAGGTATTGTTTGTGAGCAAATATGCAGTTTATTTTAACCCTTGGCGTAGCGGTATCTTGGTTACAAATGAACTTTAGTTGTGCTTTTCTCATCTTCTGTATCAGTGTTTGTAACTAACTTTCAGCGTCAGTGAGGTTAACTGCTCTGCCGGGAACCGTGTGTATTTTCCCATGTCCTTGCTAAGATTTTGATATTGATTATCATAGATGCAGTGAGACCAAAAAGGGGACAAACTGGCCAGTGGGATGTGTCTGGCATTGTTCTATTGTATATACTTTTGAATAAAAAAAAAAAAATTGTGATGAGATTATCTCTTGTACTTGTTCGCACTAAAGACCTGTAGTGGCTTGTTTTCTAACAGTGGCCACTCACTCGCTATGCAAATAAGTAAAAACATCCAGACTATTTTTATGTTTTTTTTTATTATTATGCTCCTCAACAAACTGGAAAACACTGTTTCTGTCACTGTCTATAAGCTACACTCATCTTTTCATTTGATTCTGTACCAATGAAAATGATCATCTGCTGATTCCATTTGTGGTAATGTCTGCATTAATCCACTTAGTGTGCAAAGTGTTACGATCTAGTGTACGTTATAAAATTGTTTAGCTACACTTTTGATTTTGTCATGCATTTGTATTGTTATGAAGAACGTTGTTGTCATTTTACAAACCATTTGCGAGCCATTTATTTTTGTATGAATTTATTTTCTTTGATGCTATTATAAGACCATTTTGTAACTGTATACTTCCTTAAGGTATGATGTCTAAAAAAGTATTGAATTCAGTCGGTAATAAACATTTCTAATTCTCTAAAAATGTGTTAATTCTTATAAATCACTCTATAAGTTGCTGACCCTCCCGGTTTGGAGATATCTGCAGCTCGGTGCATCTGCAGTGAGCGTCCAGCAGGGAGAGCAGGAAGACTTCTCTTCTTTGTCAGGGAGCAGTTAGATCAATGTGAGCGGGTGCTGCCCTCTTTTGGTAAAAAACCTTTTACTAGAGCCTCTTTACTAGTGTTTGCTGTGTACCGATTCCATACTACACACTAATTGTACACAGTATGTGCTTTTAATTGTCATTGTATACTGATGTTGCAGGTAGTACTCAAAAAACCTTTATAATTTTATACTTACAGGAAATTATACAGAACATCAATCACAGTCAAACCAACAATTAAACTTCACAAAGAGAAAGCAGAATAAAAGATTTAATGTTTTTTTGTCACAGTTTCACCATCATGTATACTATCTCTGTTTCTTTTGTGCATTGCATTGTGGGAGAATAGTGTCACTACATACTGAAAACCTGATTATAATCAACATGTACAATGTAATTGGGGTACAGCTCTTGTAGCTAATTTGTTATTTTAACTAAATGTAGCTAACCACTTACACTGCACTTGTTCTCCACATGCTGTTCTTTCTGGCTTTTATAATTCAGCCCAATTTAGCCATGATTGGTGTTTGTGCACATGTATCAGTTAAATTATGCAGTTATTAAACCTTACAATTTCCAGAATACCATAATTATACACTATACTTTGTATAAAAACCTTAAATAATGAAAAAATGTCAAACACTATTTGTGTACTGAACATTTAATTTATACTGTATTATGGTCTGTATGTTGGCGCAACACAGAAAAGTCTAATCATGCATGAGTCTGAATGGTATTACCAAAGTATATATATATATATATATATATATATATATATATATATATATATATTTTATACTGTATTTAACAAAGTACTGTACTACGTCATAGGATCATCATGTTACTCTGTCTTGTATTAATCTATTTCAAAAAAAGGAAGAAAAAAAGAAATCATCCCTCAGACGGGAGCCGGCTCGTAGACTCGTTCAAGAACAACACATCACTGTAAAAATCCTCACATTGTGAAGCTGCAGCCAGAAAATATTTAGCGTTTTGATTTTGATTTTTTTAGCACTTGATTAAACCAATGGACTGATTGATTTATGACTAAATCTGCTGTTGAATTGTCTCTTAATTGACTAAGCCATTAATTACTTGATTTTTAGAGACGTGTGCAGCGTCTTAATGTCTCAGATACTGAAGTCATTCACAGAAGGGAATGTGCACACTTTTATTTCTAGTGATGCAAAAATAACCAGTCAGACATTTGAACTTCTTTTGCATTTTTTAGGTTTTGGCATGATCATAGAAACATGCTTCTTTTTAACATAAAGCTACACAGAAAGAAAAAAAATCACTATAGTTTATATTCCATCAAACAACACAAAGTGATTCAAGGACAGCATGATGAGCTGTTGATGAAGTTTTTTTTCTAACAGCATCAGGGATCATGGCCATTGTTGCCTTTTTTTATGATATAATAACACGGTAATACAAAAACTCATACCAAAAACACATGTTTATCCCCACATTGTCTTTTCTTTCAGTCAGTTAATTTGGCAAGAAAAACATTTGTCACATAATAGCAATAACACTCATGAATGTGACTTTCTTAGTACCCTTTATCTCAGTACCAACAAACCTTTACAACAACTTGCAACTCTTGGAGTAGCTTGCATAAGCATGATAATTATCTGAAAGTGACCTCTGTCCATTCGGCTGCGCTTTAACACACAAAGGGGGCCACAGACATGTCAAAATGAACCACCTCTACCTTTACAAAAGCAGAGGTCTTCAGTTTGCAGAGATTATTCAGAACACGTTCCTCTGACAGCAAGCGTTACATTTCAAAACATTTTCAAACACATTTTGGCCATTGTCTGGTGGACAGGGGAATATTATTACTGTTTATGGTTTCTGTGATATATATATATATATATACGATACATTGATCCCTTTATATTGATTTTTTTAGCACATGAATAAACAATCTTGTGTCTTTGATGTATAAAACATGAGGTAATAATGTTAGACAGGGATGTGACTGTCTGAGGAGCCAGGGTGTGTTTAAGTACATTCACCTCCACTTTCTGTCGACTACGACTGCAAGAACATTATTATATAATATACTATATTAAAGGAATAGCTCAGTAAATATGGAGCTGTAACCAACGGCTGTTTAGCTTAGCTTAGCTTAGCATAATGACTAGCAACAGCAGGGGCAAACAGCTAGCCTGTCTCTGTCCAAAGGTGACAAAATCCACCAACGAGCACCTTTAAAACTCACTTAATGACAAATTATATCTGTACAAAAAACAACGTGTAAAAACGACAACTTGTTGTTTTCCAGGTTTTTTTTTTTTGCCTAATAAGTGAGTTGCTGCTGGGCAGATTTTGTTACCTTTGGGTAGAGACAGGCTAGCTGCTTCTCCATGTTTCCAGGCCTTATGCTAAGCTAAGCTAACCATCTTCTGGCTTTAGCTTCATGTTTTCTGTACAGACATGTACATAGAATAGATCTCATCTAATCCTGCAAGAAAGCGTGCAAGTGTATTTCCCAAAACTATTCCTTTAAGTATATAACATACAAAATACGTCTTGTATAAACAGTACTTCATATAGTACAATATACAGTACAATGCCTATGCCTCTTCTTTGTTATAATGCTGTACACGGTGATACTTTGCAGTCTTTGCAAACACATTTGGTAACAAAGTCTGATATTTTATCTCACATATCAAACACGACACAACTTAGGTATGATCTACACAACATGTCCCCGCTCTTGAGACGATATAAAGCTCTGCAGCTGCCACTGTAGGCCAGCTCTGCCTGTGAAAGTGACACTGCTATGGCTTCATTTTGACTTAAAAAACAAAGCAGAGGGAAAAACACACAGAGCCTGGGTTCAAACTGAGTCACATTAGGGGTGATATGGGAGGAGGTAGTACAGGCACATGGCCTCATGTTAGAGTCTGCAATTTAATTAAAGCCCTGTTTTTTTGTGTGTCCAGAATGAGACAGAGAGAGATCAGATGGAGGTCAGAGCAAAACCAACAAGTGCTGCAAACATACATATAAAGACAATTACACATTTTTGTTTCCCTGAAAGCAGCTTCTGTGCGACTTCCACCAAACTTTACAGAGCCAATGTGGGAAAAGCTGACCTCTACGCTCACAAACAGACCTTAAACTTCTGAGATCACAGTTTGTATTCATAACATTCAATTTGTACTGGTATGTAATCTTTGTGAGCTCTGATTCCTCCCAATCTGATCTTGGCTCGTCTCACTCTGGAGTCAGCTGGGTTCACTGTCCCGGTGCGTAGGGCCAGCTGATGGAGCTCCCTGAAAGCTGCATGTCTCTGATCAGCGTCTCAATGGGTGTCTTGCCCACCAGCCGCATGAAGAAGAGCTGGGAGATAAGGTTGGCCGGCACGGCACGCAGAGCCGGGAGGCGCAGTAGTAAGCGGCCGAAGCGCTGAGGCTGGTTGGGGTACTGCAACCTCTCATACTCCGTTAAAGCGACCTGGGCCTTCTCCTGCAGGGACTCCACGTGTGCTGGGTCTGTCAGACCACATGCATCTGTAAGGCAGAGAAACAGAGGATCATAATCCATCATTATTATCATAATTTTAACAGGAAACAGGGGGACACAGCTAGCTTTGCTATGTCCAAAGGTAACAAAATCTACTGATAAGCACCTTTAACAAAGTCACTGGACCTGTTTTAGAAGTAATCAGGCACATAACTCAACATAAAACCACAACCAGTCTTTCTTAGACTTTTTTTGTGTACGGATTAACAAGATATAACTTGTTGATTGTTGAGCTTAAGGGGTGTTCAAAGGCGGATGTTATATCTATTTAGAACCAGGCTCGCTGTTGTCCCCTGTTTCCAGTCTTTATGCTAAGCTAAGCAAACCGTCTCCTTGCTATGGCCTCATATTAAATGGGGAAGTAAGTGGAGTCAATCAATTAATTGGATCGTGCTCCTTCAGAAAGGTCAGAGGTCACATTCAGTCAAATCAGAAACTTGAACCCTGTTCAATACCTCACACAGACAAGTTTGTTTTGTTTTTCTATAAAGACATTTGGGATGAGTTAAAAGTAATCCAGTTACAGCAGCTATCACCACTCAGTTAACCTTAAAAATAAAACTCACCAGGTGAAAAGAGTGCAATGGCTTTGAGGCAGCTGTACTCGGCCGTGTCTACCTGCAGCCGGTTCAGCTTGTCCACCTGGTCCTGGAAAACCCTGACCTGGTCCATGAAGGACACCACGCGCTCAGCAGACATGGGCGATGAGTGAAAACCAGCAGCTGCCAGCAAAGGAGCCATATGTATAGGCAAAGCAGACTGAGCTGCATTCAGGATGAACAGCTCGCTCCAGCTCAGCCTCAGCAGCGCCACCTGTAGGGTGGATTGTAAATTGGGAAAAGGTCACTTGAGAGTAACGAGTCCCCGCAGAACTTTTCCACAGCAGACATTTAGACTTTTCATAGTAGGAAAAACACAGGTGGTACTAATAACATGAACAATGTTCTATTCAAGTGTCCCTTGAAAACATGTGTGACTGCCAGCATGCACAATATCAGGACCCTGAAACTAAAGCAGCTAAATGGAATTCAGCCATCATTGATTTTATTATTTGAACCTGTGCTTTACCCACTGTGACGCGCCAAAATGTAATTTACCTGGAAGTCAGCAGTGAATGTTTGTGTGAAGATTGTTAAAGGGATAAAGACATTTTTTTTACTCAAAAATATGTTTTTTGAATCAATGGATACTTTCAGCTCCTCAGGCCTCCAAATGAAACAATCCAAGAATTTGGTAATACAACTAAGTTCACACTAACCATAACATGTGAAGTTTGTGCTTCATTTTTAGGGCTCACGACTTAACATGATATGAAACCACAGATTTAAAAAGAGCATTTTTAT